GCGGGCGGGTTACCACAACGACGGAGTTTCAGGTTACTGGACCAATCAACCCTGCTTTACCATTGTTCCGGGGCTGGTTATCTACCGCCCAAGTCTGGTCATTGGCATTATAACCATTCACAAACCGGCCCGTAACCAGCCCACAACTAGCCCTTTTCTAAATGCGGCGGTGGCGCTGCTTGGTGGCCGCATTCGCTGGAGCACCGGATAACCCAGCTGGCACAGTTGAACTGCAATCAACAAATATCATGTATCGCCTCCGGCATTGCATTTTCTTTCGAAGTTCGTGCCCGTGCGTGCATCAGATGTCCGTTCTTGCGCGAGCCAAGGGCGCTGCTTCCGGGGCACGCCACGCTTGAAATGTTGCATCTATGAATTCTGCTAGCCGCCGTTTAATGACTCCGTGCATTGGAATAGGCAGCTGGTACACGCTGCAATGACTTTCAGCATAATAACGGCGGGCCTTTGCAAAATCTGACCGTCCCGTTCATGACTTGTTCCGGCGAGGCTTCGTGCCAGTGGCCACGAATTTTTTTGAACCACCACATACGAAAAGTTCATCGCATGATTGCGAGTTTTTGAAAAGTTGCACAGCGAGCCAAAACGATCCGGATCGAAAGCGTGACGTGCTGAGTACTGAAGCAGGAAAGGACAGCAGATGTTTCTCCGACTCGAACACGTCAGCACAGTCACACGGGGCCTCAATGTCCTCAAGTAAGGGCCACGGTCGATGTGAAGCCGGTAAGGTCCTCAATGTTGGACGTACACATGCCACGAGCAAACCGGAAACTGGATTCCAAGTTTACCACTGAGTAATCATAGGCTACGTTTCTAGAAGCGGGCCGCCGAGGTAGATGACAAGCTGACGTTCGGAGAAAAACAATACCCCCAGCAATTGACGATTCGTTCATGGCCGGGTTAAAACGGAGGCCGGCCAAATCGCTGCCAGTAGAGTCCTTAACAGGATGCGACCTGCAAGAGAATTTAAGCGACCCACCTGGGGGCCGCAAAGACGGTTCGAGCTGCCAGAATGGAGTCAAGCTGACGTGTGATCAGCTTTTCATCCCGCAATCCTATTGAGCGAAAGCGAGATGCTTAGTCTGGAGGAGGAATACAGACGCTGAGCCTTTGGCAGCGCCGGTTGGGTGCAGGTGCAATCTCGAGATTACTGTGTACCTCGATCTGAAAATGCGCATACCCTTTGAACTGTGATCATTAAACAGGCCTTTGCGAGGCAGTTTTCTTTATTGATCTGTTATTTATGAATGTCTTAGTAGGCCCCACTGACAGCTTGAATGAGACGCCGTCGAGAATTCGTCATTCATGAACCATGTCCCTGAAATCCACACATCTTTGTCTGAGCGCCCAGTGGGCAGGCTCGTATCAGTTTTGAAACATAAGATAATGAGTGAAAGCCATTTCAGGACAGCACGTTTTACAAGAAGACCGTTCAGCTCTTTACTCGGAATTCCGGATCATTTCGAAGCCACGGCTGCAGCACCTTGTCATAACGATACACGGATTTCGCACCTCAGGTTTGAACTTGAAGCCGGAGCGAAGGGTGAAGATGAGAACTCTGGAAGGCGCTGGTGTTACCTTAAAAATCGCCTTGCTCGGAAACCTGCTAGGTGCATGATGCATATGAGTACGTCATAAATGCACAGGAAGTATACAGTGCTGACATGCAGACTGGTTGGGTGAAGCAAAATAAGCAAGCCCACAAATCAAATCTTCATCAAATCATGCAAAGAATTCACATACACTGGCAAATAGATAGTTGAAGTGGGTCGGTCGGTGCGCATTAAACAAAGACAGTGGGTCAAGCACTTGGTGGCCGCAAGGGACACACAAGTGGATTCTTCCTTTCTCTTCCAGGAAAGAATGGTCGAAATGTTCTCCTCTCTTTCTTTCTCATCTAGCCTATCGCGGGCAGTTAGCGACCAGTCATGCTGGCAACCGACCCCGCATCTACTTTATCCTACGTAGAATCGACTTGTTTCTCTGTGGTAATGTACCGGGTACTATGTTCGGATTCTACTGGAAGACTACGAAGCTTCCGGGCACTTTCTTCTGTTTCTAGACTCTTCCGGACCAACAGCCACGTGTCGCTCCCCGATTTGGCGGCTTCCATGTTGTGACTTCACAACTTCAGCCACTTGGTTAATGTCGGTTTACGCTTGCCAAGGGTGTTGCCACCAATGATAGGGTCGAGTTCGCAGGGTTTACATTCGGTCGGCACCGGTCGCGCGTGCGCGCGCTCAGTGCTTTGTGCTTTGTGTAGGTAGTGGGTTTGTAAGATTAGTAAGTCTTTGAGGTAACAGCTGTTACCTTTGCCCCGGCTGACAGAAATGCGCGTCCTCGTGCATTCGAACTGTTGAGTCAGAATTGGTCGGTTGGTGGTCGTCTGATCAGTACGCGCCGTGGCGCAGAAAGTGGGTGGGTCGGTTGGGTCAAGGGTCGGGAAGAGTTCCCGAGATGGATGGGCTGCCGTTGAACGGCACGAAGTAAGTTGGTTGAGAACGAAGCGATAGACCTTGGTTGGAGAATCGAATTCAGGTCGGTTCATTGAGTCAAGGTATTGATCGAGCGGTAGGTAACGAACTTGCTCGAAAAGCAAGCTACTTACTGTCGGTACGTTTCTTTCGCGTGTGACAAGAACGATCTCGTTGATAGTGTCTATCCGGTGGCCATTTCGTGGCACCATCGGTGTGTATGTAGAGCGAGGCCGGGCTGTGAGTTTTGGTTGAGAGCGGGGTTAGTTTCTCTGGTCATAATCACGAATCTGTTCGAGAGGTCAAAGCGATGGATTTCAATCAGCCAGAACCGTTTTGGTTTGGGGAAGTAAGGTACGATTAACGCCGGCGGATCTGATTGCGTAATTGTCCCTTGGCTCTTGACATAGTGTGGATGTTGTAAGATCAGTGTCGGTTTGTGTGGTTGTGTCATGTGTCTGAGGTCGGTTCCGTTCAAGGGGCTTGGTTTGCTTAGCCTACTGGATGCTGAGAGGAGGCAAAGCAGTCAACGGCTGGTTCAGGTTCCAATTCTATACGAGCACTCAAATTGGGGAGACTAGTGCGCGAGGACTCACCTGTGTCACCAGCTACTTGAGCGGGCTCTAGAAACCGGTCTTCGATTGCGACGATCTGCCATTTGTGTGCAGAGTCTGAGGAGGGACATGGGAAACCCCTCTGCTCCTGAGCTTCTCCCGCCATCGTGGGACATTGTCTAAAGTTCGGGGAGTTCCCTCTTGGCGCCGCGGGAAAACGCTCCAGGACTGTGCTTTCAGTACCCTAGCTCTCAAGCACAGAGAGTGCTCTAGCTTGACAATTTTGTCCAAGCGGGGCCATTCGAAAGAGCGACGCCGTGGCTTCAGGAGCGGAGGAGCAGACAAGCGGCGGCATAGTTGATCAGGCGTTTACAGTAGAGACATCCTCCGGCTTGCAGCCTTTTGAGAAACCGTACGTCTGGAACTCTTGAAAGCATCCAATGGGATCTAACTACAGCATCCTCATGAATGTTGACATGCGCGCATATGGCACCGTCTCGACGAGCTCGCTAGCTTCAGGCATATAGAGCAGTCATTGTAGCCATGATAGCCAGGGTCGAGGACCGATTGCCATGCTCCATGCGGCACGTACAGTGCAGACTTTCAGTGCAATCTGCCTTTTGTTTTGTGCTCTGCCTGGCCGGCCGGCCGGCCATGCATGCTGCTAACTTTCTATAAATCAAATCTGATTGGTTTGGATCGCATGCAATCGATCGACTTATAAAGCGATTTGTTCAACGTTGTCATACCGCAAGCCTGCTTCACCTTCCCCTTGAATAAGATGCCAGTGATTTATGAAAGATTTTGAGAGTGGCCCATGCTAGACGGCTGGCCAAGTAGAATTTTGCCGGCGAAATGTGTGCATACGTGCATTTCAAGTAGCTAGCTACTGAGCGGAACCTTTCAACAGTAAGCGCTGCTTAGTCGCGCGGTCACACCGATTGAATTGAACCTATATAGCGCGGGCGGCCGGACCAGGGCGTCGAGCCTTTCTCATGCGTATCTTACACAGCCTATGTTCCGATGGCAATGCATATGCGCAGATCTAATGGACATAAGTTTCCAGTCGACACGACCGTCAGTGCCTTTGACCGCTGCACGCATGCGTATACCCCGCCGCGCAGCATATGTCTTTTGTACGTCCGACTTGGAATGATCATATATTGACACTTATGCCACCGGCCGACCCAAGACCCCACCCCAAGAAGCTTATATGCGTGTTAGCGTTCAGCGCGGCCGATGCATGAATCAAGCTAGCTAGTCACATTGAATCACGTGAAGAACCCCGATCTTATGCTCCTTGCATGCAGGGAATTGGATTCGGCGGGAATCTGCAAGCACTCAAAATGATGATATACTCTGGTCAAAGGCCGGCTAGCGATCGGATGTACTAACTGAGTTGCCGTTATGTTTTCTGGCATGCAACGTGCATTGATCGAGGTCAACGTATATCATGTGTCAATTGTACTGTATCATTGCCTGGAATGTCGATCACGCACTGCACAATACGTTCTTCGAATGTAAGTGAGTCTCCATTCATTGAATGAGCTAAAGTTTACGCGTCCACTTCGAGTCAGTACTGTTGTCCCCAAGCTGCTCTGACATCATTCTCATAAGATTCAAGTTTGAACAGTGGCATGGCACAGCTTGTGGTCGGGACTTTCGTCGGATGTTCAGATTCCCATGAAAACTTTCAAGCCTGTTTGCGCTCCAGATTCATCTGATGACAGTTCACAAAAGAGCAACGATCCACTTCTTTGAACCTTCTGATCTTCTGTCTACAAGGACTCTGGCCGAAACAAATGAGTGGGTGGGGCCATCAACATGCCCAGCGAAGCAGACCACCTGCTCGGATTGATGTGGCTTGTTCACCATGTAAACCCAATCGTTGACGTAAGATCAGGACGCTGACCCTGACCTTCCATACAGCTATCTTTAGTATGTGTAGCCAACCCTAATCAAAAGCGCTCCAAGCATCTGTCTTAACAAAGGCGCTGGTCGGTGGCGGGTTGGTGCTAGCCCGGACGTTGAACGGGTCACCATCATCAAAGCTGCTGCCAAAAGGTTTCTCAGTCTGCGGGGAGAAGCGACCGGAGCCAGCCTCGGAGAAGGTGTCGTCACCGGCGGGCAGAATGTTGCCGAGCCCCGCTGGCTTGAAAGGCTTGGCTGCGGGGCTGGGGCTCTGATCCTCGGCCCATTTGCTGCGAAGGAGACACCGAAAACCTGTCAGTGACTTCGTGTTGATGGTGAGGGGCGGAGGTTTCATTGTCAGTCCGACAGAACGGCTCAAAGTAGAGCATGGGGGCGTGTCAATAGCGTTCTGCGTCAAACGATGAAGGCTGAGGCTCCGTCATTGGTCCAGCAAGACCACTGCCTCTTACATGTGGTCAACGGAAAGTGCAGACTTGATGACCAATCAAGCAGGAGCAGTCCCACAAAGGACTAAAGCAGAAGCAAATGACAGAAGAGGAAAGAGCACATGGGCATCAGAAGATGCTGAACCTGGCTACTGAGATATTCTCTGCTTATGCTGGTGCTTGACTGCGAGGACAGGAACTTTGGGAAAGACGTATCCTGGTATTTATGTCCAAAGTCGAGCAGACTCTTGAGTGGTGACGCAGCAGAGCGCACGCAGTAACCAGCATTGGAGTGCATGATTGGAGTCCAAGATCGTTCGTTGGCTTCACGGCCTGTTGTTTCACAGCGCTAACTAGGCGAGTCGACCTCGCAGAGGTGTGATTGAGGGGATGCTTCACTGGTTGGAGAACCAGAACAAGAAGCGCAGAGATGATTAACGAAACGTGGACAAGCACTCCTGTACGAGAAACGACCCAAAGCAAGGGTGAGCACATAACGTTTCCAATCCACATGAGTTCCTCATGTCTGACGTCATCGCCCTATTTCTACCAGGGGACCAGCTAACCGGATCCACCAGATAACGCCACCGGCAATCACGAAACAGCCCTTGACGTCCAGAGCCCTCACCTCGCGTTGTAGTGCCCAAACGCGTCGCTCCTCTCCTCCAGGGGGGGCGCCAGCCGGCTCAGATTACCCCCCACCTTCTGCGACGCACGCACGTTGCCTGCGCCCGCAGAATCGAACGACGCTGCGACGCTGTTCATTCCCCAGCTGGCACGGACGTTACTGTTGACTGCGTCCGAAGAGCCGTCCGAGTCACCGAACCCGCCGCCGGGGCGGCGCCACTCGGAGCCGGTGTCGAAGCTGGAGGACGGGGAGGACTGGCCGGAGGTGTCGGCCTTATCGTGGGAGTCGGACACGCCCGCATACCTGCAAGAAAATAACGGGGTTTGGATCAAACCACAACGAGACGACCTTTTTTGGACGTCAATGTAGCTTCTCGTAGAAATTGGGAGAGAGGAGACCGCCCGGAGGTGCTTAACAAGCTCTTGAAAAAGACTCAAGGGGAGGACTGGCCGAAGGCGTCCGCCATATTGTGAGAGTCGGCACGCCAGCATTCCTGTGGGAGAAACTTGGAGACGAAGGGGTAAGAGAAGGCTTTTAACCAACACAACGACGACTTTTTGGATTACTTGCAGCATGTTGATAAGCTCTGATAAAACAAAAGTCAAGAGGGGGAGGACTAGCCGGAGGTGGCGGCCTTGTCTTGAGATCAGACGTGCCTACATAGGAAAAGGAAGGGGTAAGGACAATATACTACACGCACTGAATCGAGTGTCTGCAGATACCTCCTGAATACAGTTGGTAACCTGGAAGGACAAGGACTAGCGGAAAGTGTCGGCCCTGTCCTAGCTAACGGTTCCACTCACATATTTGGGGATTATTTTAGCGTTTCGGGCTAAGCTTACTCTGGATTTCCATTTATACGAACAATTTAACGGCAAGAGCAAAGGGGTGGGAGTACAAAGAGGCGAAGAAGGCCTGGCCCGAAGGGTCTACCTTGTTCTCGAACACACCGACGTCTAAAACGAAGTAGGGCTTCAATGTACATGTTTTCGAGCTTAGGGTTTCCAGTCTACAATCTAAGCTGGTTTTAGCCATTAGTATTTGCTTGTAGACCTGTCGCTGGCGTAGTCCGCAAATGGAACTTCGAAACCTGTGGAAACGACATCGTCGAGGAGGATGCCCTACCAGGCTCGCGCATCGTTTGTGGCAGGTGTCAGGTTTCCTCTTGCTCTACTGAACCAATGAAAAAGCTCGGTTTTACCGCTCAGCGCGACAGGTAGACGCCTCATAGGCATTCAAACAACGGCGTCAAGAACCCAACCATACTTTTGAAAGGTTATAAACAATGGGAACCCTAGCACCTGCTCGGCGATATTCTGCTTAACAAGGAAAGCGGTCTTCCTGTTTTGCGTTTCTTAGAAAGGGGAGTTCGTGACTGTCCAGACCGCTCACCTCTGAGCCGCCTTCTTGGCAGAGGACGTCGGCGGCGGGCTGATCCCCATAATGGGGGGCTTGAACGCCCCCTGAGTCGGCCCCCCCTTAGGAGATTGCGCCGAGTGGCTGGCGGCGGGAGAGGATGGTACGGCGCTCAGGCCGCCGGGGGACTGGGGAGTACTGCCGGTCCCAAAATCGGCCTGATTAAGGAACCGCAAAGGTATCAGCGTCACAGCAAAAAGACGAAAATTTGATGTATATGATACCAATGCAGGACGGACGTGACCTGGCGCGCAAATAACGACCCAAGACCATGACATAATAGCTGTCTTGCTTGGCGCGCTGGAAGGGGACTGCCGCTGAACGCTTTGCAATCGCACGGCGACGGGACAGAAGGACAGCTGAAGTAAGTAACCTGATACCGGAAATGCGCTCTCTGTTAGAAGCGAGGCTCGCTTCAAGAGCGGAGTGCCGGGAGATGTTCCACATCAGAAAACCCCGCTCGATAAGATTAGAAATTGTTTCAACACAGAACTTACAAATAGCGACAGAGGCACTCAGGGGGAACTACTTCAGAAAGGAACGGCAAACAATCATGCAAGGTACGGTGATATGGAATGCCAGAGTCAGGCGACTGCGCAGGATAAGGGCACCCTTTACACTGTAAGGATAGTGAAGGAAAAGTCTGTGATTCGATTCCGGACGGTCGAGATACAAAACTACAGTTTAGAACGTGAACGAGGTCCGGCTAGCAACCCCTTGAAAGCACCCTCACACGAAAGTTGAACCACGTGAGCTCGAGACTGGGGAGGATTAAGAACGAGAACAGAATGTCCCACATATAACGACAGAGACAAGGGAAATGCCAGCAACCGAGTTTGAGAAAGACGGCCAGACGTCCAGGCAGTTTTAGGGCGCACCTGAAAGGCGACGTTGGCAGGAGCAAGATTAGGGGCAGCCTGGACTGCGGGCAACTTGGCGGGCAACGGGAACCCGGGGTCGTTGGGGCTGAGTGACTCCACGATCTCAAAACCTGGAAAGGACGGAGAGAAGCAATTTTAGGAAAGAACTTTCCGATTGTTGTGGAAGGGAGGGTTAGAGAAGGAAGCATGCTGTTTCCAAGCAGAACAGTGCCAATGGATACAGACAGACGCCGACGGGTTTGCTCGGATTCACGTGGTAAGAAACCATAGGTTCTCTTTGAGTAACCGTTCGACTTCGTGGCCTGACGGCGACACAAGTGCACAAGAACCAGCTGAACGGTCGCCTAGAATCTACGGGATCTCGGAAGCGAATTGGGGGCCAAGGTAGAGGAAAACCTTTACTGGAAGAGTTGCAGTCTCCTCTCATAGAGGCCTATAGAGCAGAGCGTTCGCTAAAGGGCGTCTGCAATCTGAAATATGAGGGTTGCTAGGTGGCATATCAACAAGACAATGGGTGCGCCCGCTACCTGGGTCCGATAAAGTTCTTCCAATGATGAGATTGAATGATCAACAAGCACAGGGTCCATTTACCCCTCGCTGCAGGGGGATTATTATAAGGAGGAAGAAGAACCAGAAGAAGAAGACAAAAAGGAAAAAAACGAAGAAGGAGAAGAAGATGAACAAGAAAACTGACGACGACAGCAAAGGAGAAGAGTTAGGACCCTCGTGAGGTGCGGATGAAGGTCCCTGCAAAAAGGAACTCTCGATATTCGTTAGTGACAAAGGGTTTCGTCCGCTGCTGTAGACTTCGAACCCCCAAGATAAAGGCGGCCAGGTTGGATACGAACAGACCAAGACTCCCGCAAACACTGAGAAGTTCTGGTCGCATGGGCCTACCTTCGTCTTCAAAGTTGTCCCAGTCCTCGTCCCAGTCAGCCGCGCCGGAGTTGGCGCCATCCGTCCAGCCTGTGACAAAACGATTGCAGTCAGGAAACACCAACAGACTTCCCTAAAAGAACAACTAGATTGGGAAAGGGTCTCAGGCTCAGTGCCTGCTCCCTGGAGCTACGCAGCTTGCTCGAAGTTGGCTGTCGTCTTCGTTCAGCAAGCAATTGAGAGGTCAAAGAGGTCAGGGTGTGACAATGGTGTTTCCAGACGCTGCATATAAAAATAACAATTTTCAACAATTTTCATTGTCGGCCAAAGACACCAAGGTGCGAGATATGAAGAACCTCAACAGGATCCTGAATCGACGAGTCCCCCTGTCTTCGAGCTTCCTCTGCCACCTGCACGGTCCCTCGATGGAAAAGTCTAATGCCAGAATTACCGACTGCAATACCAAGCAGGAAGCGACTTTCCGGAAGAGTACATTCCGCCACAGGTTCTACTTCTCACACTCAAGAAGCCAGGCATGAAGCTACCTAACCTACCCAGTACATCGCCAAAAAGCCCAAACCTTCAAGGCGCTGTACAACTATGCAGCAACTTATTGAGCACATTATCCATGCGGCTATCCGGCCACACGCAATAATCAACACTCGCCGGACTGTCGCCCGAAGGTTTGACAGCACGTGCCTTTCTGAGCAACCATACCACAATGGAACCGCCGCTAATCTGTCCCCCGGCAAGACTGTTCCCGACTCCTCAGCACTTGATAAAGTAGCACACATGAAGAAAGAGAACTCACCAAAAGCGCTCCCTTCAGAAGCGGCCAGAGACGGCGCGGCCCCCGCCAAAACGAGGGGCCCCTGGGGGGCAGCTGGGAGGGCAGCCTGGACCCCCAGTTTGGTGGCACGTTCCACGGCCGCGTTGCGGAGTGCGTCGATCTCCGCCAATATCGTGTTGACCTTCTCCTGCAATTCAAAGGCTTCAAACGTTCAAACCCTGGTAACTTCTTTTCATTTTCGGCTTGTCTTATGAGTTCTGTGCTCCACGGCTGCGTTGCGGAGTGCGTCGATCTCGGCCAGGATCGTGTACCTTCTCCTGCAAAATAAATAGAGTGCATATCTTCAGATACGAGTTACTTCCTGAGTTCCTCCTCAGCAAACCTCTCTGGATTTCCTTTCGTTCCACTCAAGGAACAATCTGCAGAAGACCACTATCAAAAGAACGATTGGATCTTCCCACCTGGACACTTGTGCTTAGGTCAGCGCCCGCCTCAAGTGCCGCCACCGCATTGAAGAGCAGCTTTTGGGCCTGGAGGGCCCGTTGAAAATCCTTCGTTGAGATCCCTTTTTGACATATCTTTTTGAAATCAAGAAACAAGCACATCGCAAAATACGAAGTCGATCTTCCCACCTGGACACGTGTGCTGGCATCTCCACCCCCCTCGAAGCACCGCCACAGCACTGAAGAGCTTCCGTTTCTGGTCCTGGAGCGTTTTCAAAGGCGCCTCTAAATTTTTCATGCCTAGGTCCAAAAGAAAAGCATAAAAGATAACGATAGACCAATTTTCTCACCTGGACAATCGTGCTAGGGTCAACGCCTGCCTCCAGGGTCGCGACAGCATTGAAAAACCCCAGCTTTTGGTAAAGAATTTACTCAATCCTATTGCTCAAGTCCAGAAAGGAAGGAGATTGCAAAGGAAAAGGTGATAGACCAGTCTCCAACCTGGACACGTGTGCTGGGGTCTGCGCCCGCCTCAAGTGCCGCGACCGCATTGAAGAGCTCCAGCTTTTGGTCCTGGAGCGACTTGAAGAGCGCCTCCTCTTGCTGGAGGCGGGAGGCGGTCTCGCCGGTCGACTTGTACTTGCCGTCGTACTTCTTTGCCAAGTCTTCGACCTGCACGGTAAAGATACGGAGTCGTTTTAGCAAATCCATATTGACTTCGTGGAGACTGATCTGGGTTTGCTGACAAGGTCTCCACCTTGGCAAAGGTATCCCGAACGGCTACTTGAGCGGTTCACTTCAGTTACGTTGCCTCAGTAAGGAAAATGACTATTTCTTTCAGACCAAGAATTAATGGTTAATCGCTTGGATTGAAATCACGTCGCCGTACCTCCTTACGAGTGTTTCGACCTTGGGAGTAGAGGAACTGCAATTTTGAGAGACAGCTGAACACTCAAGCGCGATCGAAGTGTTGAAGACGTAGAATCAGGCAAAGGCTTCGACATAGACCTTTCTTAGGAGTGCTCTGTTCTGAACCGGCGAAATGCGAATTGAAAGGTAGCGAGTCAATAAGAAGCGGTCCCCAAACGTTCGACTCTCATTTAGAGGCAAAAGCAGACAAGGGGGGCTACGTTCATCAAAGCACTCGCCTCTTATAAAAACAACAGAACCACAAACTATTGGCAGCAATTGACAACGATCTTTCTCAAAGAAGTTGTGTTTTGCAGCGGACAAGATGTGAACCGACAGGTAGCAAGTCAATGCGAAGCGTTCCGAAACGACTTTTCACTGACAGCAGAAACCGGAGTGAAGGCACGGAGCTAAGTCCATCAAACAACTCACATAAGCCAAACCGGAAACAACCCAACGTACCTCTTTCTTGTCCAGTTCCACCCGGTCAGAAATCTCGGCCAGGCGGTTCTTGCACTTGTTTTCAAACAGGATCTGCAAAGAAAAGTGCGGATAAATCCTCTGGATGCGCACGAAATGCACACCGGCCTCTAGCGATCGCTTTGCAGAGTTGATAAAGCACCTAGCACTTTTCCAGCTCGAAAGAGAACAGAAATCAGGCAGTTCCAATCAAAACCTAAATGGGAACGCTCAAAAGATGACTCGGACACACTGGAAGACGCGTTTCTGCCAGACGTCCCTTGAAACCTTTCCGGACTCGAAGCAACACGTTTCGACTGACAACACATTCTGACCACCGACACGTTCAAATCGACACCATTGGACACAATAAACACGGAGTCGCCCTGTCGTTGAACAGCTAAGATGAATCCATGCCCTGACTTTCTCTCAAACAACAGAAGACAATACGAGCACTATCGATGACGGGACGCCACCTGCTCGGTGACAAGGGCACTTGGTGCTCAGCAAAAGTTCAGCGGATGTGTCATTTGGACTTCAGGTAATCCACAAGGAAGTAGCATATGAGCACACACGCAGTGATTCGCTTACCAACTCCTGCATCTTGTCTCTGTAGAACTCGGTCTTCTGTTTTGCGTCCAGCAGGTCTGTCTCCATCTGCCAGACCTGCGAAACGCACAGGATAGGGTCTCTAAATAACGGTGTGCGAGTCAGGATAGGAGACTCGTTTGCATGGCGCATGTTGCAGCATGTTATTGTAATACAATCCTTTCTGCCCACTTTAATCAGAGACCTTGAGCCAAATTCGAGGAGCTTCTGATGGACTCCGGATGTCCTCAACAACCATATTTGGTCGCTCAAGAACCACAAACAAAGCACCATATAGGCTACGAACAAGTTACGGAAGTAAGCAGGAAAAAGCTCGCGAGTACGAAGGAGACCAAAGAGCGAGATAAAAAGGTAGCAGTCCACGTGACCGCGCCTCTACGCCGTTCAAGTCCTGGTGAAGCCGGGATGTGACAAACAGCAAAGTACAAGCATCAAAAGATGATCGACTACACTGCTCTGGTTCCCACCTTCTTTTGTCACCCCTCCACTCTTGCAGTAATGCTTCCTGATTGTCGTTCTTTACGTGGCTGACGAGTGTCACCTCAAGGTCGGTACATACCGCAAGCGGACCGGGTTCATAAAGCAGTAACCAAACACCACGTGGACAATCAAAAACCTGGAACTCACCTGCTTGTCAACTTCTTCCGTGGTCTTCACTCTGCTGTTAAACATCTCCTGCTCGTCCCTTGCCAGCTGTTTCACACTTCCTAAGCCCGCCTTCGGAATCGTCAACGAATCCCTGAGAACCAAAACTACACTCGGTGCTCTGTTGCTCACCTGCTTGTCAAGCTCTTCCGTGGTGTTTACCTTGCTACTGTCCGATTGCCGCTCGTCCCGTCGCTGCCTCAAAACGTTCGGGTCCGCTTTCGGCACCTTAAGCTCAAACACAACCAAGCCTCTTGCCAAGAACCATTTTGAAAAATTGAGGGTTGTAAAAGACGACCCCGCTCATGATCTTTGATCTCACCTTCTTGTCAAGCTCCTCCGTTATTGTTTGGCTCCTGCTCATCCCTCGCCAGCGGCCTGAAACTTCTGATTCCGCATTCAATCCAGTGACCGAACCCCTCTCAGGAGTACCACAACAGGAAACCACCAAGCAACCAAGCAAACTCACCCTCTTGTCGAGCTCTTCTATGATTGGCACTTTGCTGTCAATCAGCTCCCGCTCACATTTTGCCAGCTGGCTAACGAATTTCGAACCGCCTTCAGAACTGAAGACTCAGTGCATACCAGTCTTGAAAAGAAATAAATTCTAATGACGAAACCCAGCACCACACTCACTGCTTCAGTCTCACCTTCTTGTCAAGCTCTTCCGTGGTCTTCACTTTGCTGTTGATCATCTCCTGCTCATCTCTTGCCAGCTGTCTCATGACGCTCGGGTCCGCTTTCGGCGCCTTCGGCTTGAACGGCCCCAGTTCCTCAAACGCATCCCCCGCTTTCTCTTTGGGGGGCTCCACCGGGGGGGCTTCGTGCTGACGGGGGGGGAGGGGGTAGGAACGCCCAGCATGGCGGACCCCCCCGGAGCGGCCCAGGGGGCGTGCTGCGTATCGGCGATGGCAGCTTGCGCGGCGGCAATTTGCTGCGCCGCAATCTGGGCGCGGGGGTCGAGAGGGGGCTCGTCGATGTGGATACCTGCAAGGCACGCGGTAACTTTCGGATCAATCATCAGCACTCCTAGAAAAAAAGAGTCGGAGCTTTCTTTGCTAGAGGGAAAGAGACCAATTTTCTGCTGAGAGCCCCCTAATCAAGATTGAAACCGGTCTATCGGCCACTGGTAATGCATTTGGGATACAAGTTTGAGAAAGGACTAAACCAGCAGCATGCTTTCCACAGAAGATGTAGGTACCTTTACAGATTGCCCGCAGATCGGAAAGCATGGGAGCAACGCTGCCAGAGAGGAGCCAGACGGAATGAGAAAGACTAGCTAATGGGAAAGGAAGCAATGTTTACAGATCCGTTGGAAGCACCAAGGCGGCCTTCGCGGGTCTTCTCCATGAATTACCAGCGCGGCGGAGATGCACCCAATAAGCATCCAGTCGGCGTGGTTTGTAAGAAGTAGTGAGGTAGATAAACGATAAATAAACGTGTTTCTAGGTAAACCTTAGTGATGCTCTTCGATTCTTGAATAAGATGCTGCAGTGTTGCCGATAACGGGATATGCAGCTTACCAACGGCAGAGATGACAACCGACGACGAACAAAGCCAAAGCGAGACAGAAAGGGCTGGCCAAACAAAGAGCAAACTGGGACTGGTGCTTACCCGTCGGGAGGACGGGAGGGAGCGGGCGCCCTTCGCGGGACTTCTCCATAAGGTACAGGGCAGTGCAGAACTCGCGCACAGAGAGCATGCCGTCCTGGTCCTGGTCTGACAGGTCCCAGATCTGCTTCAGAATCTCTGCAACACAGAAAAACATTATTCGTTTGCTTTTATCCTTCAGGGTAACGCATTCTAGGTTGAGTGCGTTGCAGAACCGCGCACAGAGAGCAGGCTGTGCTGGTCCTCGTCGGACAGGACCCAGACCCTGCGTCATAATTGCTGCAAACAGCAGGCGCCGCAGGTTCAGCATGGGCGCAGAAGACAGGAGAAGCGAAGTGGCTACTCGTAATTTCCAAAAGGACAAAAATAAGCAGAGCAGGAAGTCGTAGACCGTCTTGTTGCGTTGGCAGCATGTTGTTTCGTGTCTGAGAGGATCCTAGTCGCTCAAGTCCATGATTGCGTCAGGTGACTCAGGGTCACTGAGCTACACAAAAGGTCAGTGAAGACGAAAGATAGCAGGCTTGAGGTAGACTCAAAAGAAGCGTACTGAAATTAGCGAAAGTGGAAACGATCCACTGCCGAATCCTCCCACAACCATTCTTCGGAGATTCGTGACGATCTCTGAGGGAAGCAACAAGAGAGGCAAGATAAGCAGCGGAGCAAGATCAGGCTGAACGACCCACTGCTTGCCTAGACAATTGCAGAAGCAGCAGGATGGAAGTCCAGACACAGTCGAACTTTGCAGGTACTCTATAAAAGACGCTCTTCGCTGGGGGGATGCAGGTAACCTTGAAAGACCCTAGCTTGAAGCTTATGCAATTTACAGGGAGTCGAAGTCACTGCACAGCACATCTCTACGCTAAGCTGATCTTGTGTGACTCCTTGACTGAAAGCAAGAAATTCTTCCTATTCACAAGCAACAAGAAACTGACCTCTAGGGATGCCCCAGCTGAGGAACAGATCCCGCGCCTGCTCCCCGGTGATCTTCTGGTCCCTATCGGTGTCCACGCTCGTGAAGACTTGCATGTAGCGCTGTGCGTCCTGAGGAGTCATTCTCGGCCACGGCTGCGCCGCATAGCTCCCCTGAGGCGGGGCAACCCCTCCTGCTGACTGCGGGGGGGTTGCCGAAGGGGCAAAACCTGCCCCCCTGGGCTGGGACGCCGGGCCTTGCGGAGGAGCGCCGCCGGAGTAGGGGGCCAACGCGCTGGCGTTGAAGCCCCCCTGGAAAGACGCCTGTCAATAAACAAAGGAGAGTGTCGAGTGTCAGAAAGTGCAAAGCTCTTCTTTGGTGCATTCAGACGAGCTCAACCTGCATCCTAGTTTACCAGGACCGACGCTGGAAGATTCATTCAGCAAATCTCAGCCCAGGCCGCGTTCGCACCGCACCAGCTTCTGATAGAAGTAGTCAGGTTTAAAAAATCGGTGATGCAGGAATTGCAGAGCGCAAGCTTGAATCCTTTCGGCAGGTCTGCACCTACATCTCGCAAAGACACAAATCTGGACCTGCAAGAAACGCAACTTTCTGTACTTCAACTTGGTAAGAAACATTCTATCTGCAAATAGAAGTGGTATCATGATCTGCTGTCAGAACTCTACAGGAACGGAAATGACTTATACTAAAAAGAGCAAGTCATAAAACGTTGTCCCTAGTAGCAGCTTCGCAGACAACTTCGTATACTGAAGAGCCCGCTCTTTGACCATAGTCACGGAAAATGTGATCTCGTCAAAATTTGAGGACAGCCCAGGAAAGGCGCTCCCTTAAAAAGCGCTCGATTTGCAACCCCCTTCCTGGCCCCTCTCTAGTTGGACGAGCTACGGACGCGCATCTTCGAGGAGCGTGTAAACATGCGGGAGGAGGGCGCGCGTTTGCGCACGCGCGCGGAGGCGGACCCCCGGAGACGCGGCGAAAGGAGGAGCACCGACGGCAGCCGGCGGTCGCCGCAAAGAAAGCTTGTTGATTCTGACTCGAACGATAAGCCAGGTCATGGAAAGCTAAACTCACTGGCGCCTGGGGCTGACCCGCACGGCCCCCTGCGGGGGGCACATCAACACCGGGGGCTGATACTGGCCTGGCACCGGCTGGGGCCTTACCCCCCTGGAAGCTACCAGCAGCGGAGGCGAAGTCGCCGCTTCCTGCACTCCCGTAGCTTGAGGTTGAGGCAGCGGGTTTCAGGGGTTCCGCAGGGCGAGCAGCACTGAAACCTGCAGATTGAAAAATTCGGTCTGGAACTGGGTAATGTAAACTCATGCCACTGCTCATATGATTGTGGAAAGCGCGTTGCTGGTCTAAGTTGGTCAGCCCTGCAGGGCGACCCGCACTGAAACCTGCAGATTGACGGGTTGGGTTGAGAACTGGGTAAGGTAAACTCAACCCCTGCTTATGAGTTTGTGGGAGGCCCATGTGGAGTCTCAGACTGGCTTTAAGGGGTGTCGGGGCCCCGATTTTGCAGCGACCCATTTGCAGCAATTTGCCTATATTTCCGCCACGAAAGTACCCAAAGTTTTACGGGCGGCAGCTGCCGCCTGGGGCAAAACAAAGCTGTCGGCATCGTGCCCCTGACAGAAGAAGTACGCGTCGCAGACGCCCCATCTGACCACGAAACGGGCATTATTAAGGAGTCAAGTCAAGAAAGACTTGGGAGGGAGTCAAGGGCCCTGTGGGCGAAAAGGTCGTCAACAGTAAGAAGCGAACCGGAGCAGGTAAGTATACACCCCGAAGTAATGTCACTGCTGCTTCAGAAAAGAGACAATCAGTCTATGCTCCTTCATCAGAAAGGTGCCCCAAGTAGTGCAGCTATCAACGAATCCGGCCAATCTGTAGATCTATCTGCCAGCCCGAGGGTGGCAAATCAATGTCCGAAGTTGGCTGTTTCCCCACCAAACTTGAATTTGAAAAAGTAAGGTAAACAATCTTCAAATGGATAAACGCTGTGGCAAAGAAAACAGGCTTTGATAATTACCTGCACCGGCGCCAAACGCATCATTTCCGAAACCAGCGGGGGGGGCAGATTGACTCGGAGATCCGGGGCGCTGGAAGCCCCCCGACTGCTGAGAAGGAGGCGGGCCTTGTGGGGGTCCCGATTGCGGTCCTGGTGGGGTAAGTCCTGAGAAAAAAAGATGGGAGTTCCGTCAGAACAGGGCCCTTGGTAATCGGACTCTGACGTAGACGCAGTTGTGAAGCTGAGTGTGGGAAGGTGCTGACCAATTCCACTGTTGATGGCCAAGGGCTTGCGAACGTTCGTTTGGTTGGTCATTGATGAGAGGCTTGTAGGCTGACGATTTTACAGAGAGGCATCTACTATTCACCAGCAAGCTTTAAAAGAGCAGATGATTATGGAACAAAGGCAAATATGGAAGGAAATTGAGAAACAAGATTGAGGATTTGAAGATCTAAACAGTGTTTAGAAGAGAAGATTCAAAGGCAGGCCCGAGTCCGGCAGGCAGTCGGTCGGCTTGATCAAAAGCAGCAGCAAAGGGACTTGGGAGCTGCGGAACTTGCGACCCTCAGAATCAGAACAACAGAACGTCATGGACGAGCAATCTGAGAGTGACATGCGCATAGTAGCAGATGTAAAAGTACATACGAATGTAGTCCTGCCAGTCTTTAGACGAGAAGACGTTGCTCTGCTATTCTTGGGGCCGAATCTGAGGACCTGCCCCTGTCAGCACAACCCTCAAACGATGATTAGTTACTCGTGACTCAGAGGCAATCACACGTGACCAAAGACAGATTATCCAGGTAAGAATGAATGCTACTGTCTCAGCCATCAAGATGACACGAACTGCACCTGCTATTCTTGGGGGCAGAAATTGGGGACTGCCCCTGTCAGCACAACCCTCGAACAATGGATAGTTACTCGTGACTCAGAGGCAATCACACGTGACCAAACACAGATTAAGCAAGTAAGAATGAATGATACTGTCTCAGCCTTTACGAAGACAAGAACTTCACCTGCTATTCTTGGGGGTGGAATCTGGGGGCCCGCCCCTGTCAGCACCATCCTGGCAATATCGGGGGTCAGGTCCCGGCCGCTCTGTGCGACCGTGACGAGCTTGAGCGCCGCATTGAATTCCCGCCGGTCGAGGAAACCGGTTTGTCCCTGATCGGCAATCTGCCAAATCTGCAAACATTGACCACACACATTTCAATGCTCTGCCTCCATTGATGTGAAAGATTGGCCGTTGGAAGTTTGAGAAACCGTTCGCCCCTGGGTTGGCGATCTGCCAAAACATACAAATTTACAAAAGTTGAAGAATCAGTGGAATGCATTCATTTGCTCTGCAAGGTTGGACGCTTGGAAGTTTGAACAATGATTTTGGCTCTCTTAGGCACTCTGCACGACTACCAAAGGTACACAACAAGTGCAGCGCGTTCATTCAGTGTGAGCAACTGGGCGCTTAGAAACTGAGGGATCAGCATGCCCTAGGACGGCAATCAACGAAGCACACAAGGAAAAGCAATAGAGGAACACATTGACGAGCTATTCTGAGTAAGGGGTTGGAGATATAAAAGACACGTCTTGATACTGATGAGCAACTTGCCACCTCTGCAAAAAGTGCATGCATCGAAGCAGCCAAAAAGTCCCTTTGTCTCCGGCTCATTCCCTTTTCACAAGCAACACTTTTTGAGGACTCCGTCTACCAGCGATTTCTGCATTGACTTCCAAGGGACTGCTTAAAGGCATGCTTCAAATATCGACAAGAAACTTTTGCACCCCAGTCAACCCTTGCAATTGGATCTGCAAGACGAGCACTGCGCAACCCTCATTTGCAAATTGGAACACCAGATTCTGGGTAATCCAGGTGTTGCAAGACCTCAAGGTAAAGTTTTTTTAAACCAGCCCCACAACCTCATCATCTGCACCACATTGCTTCTTGAACCCTAAACAAAGAAAGTAAAGTGAAAACAGATCGACAGGGGGTCTCTTTGTCATGGGCATATAAACGTGCTTCTGCAGGACATGATCAAGAGCAGTGACAGTCATGGACGAGGAAGGGCTCTGTACATCTTAGGCTTTCTGGGTTGAAGCAATCAAACAAATGCAGAATGTATCCAAATTGATTCAGTCGAAACCTTGAGCTCCCTCGAGATGACTTCACATCTCGCATTGTTGTGATTATCAACCCAGACCACAAAACTTGTACGCGCATCCACAACAAAGAAATTATCATCGTGAAGCTGGCTCTGGAAGCAGAGGCCTGACTTAGAGGCCATGTCCAAGCAACCCAACCTGATGACGATGCACACCAGATTACCCGATGCATACAAAATTCTGTAAAACCTGCACAACTGTGATACTGAGTTGCAGCTCATCATCCGACCAATCCAAACAGCATAATTCAAGCGCGACCACATGGTGGCCGAATCGGTCTTCAGCAATTCTGATGACCATCCTCAAAACAAGTATGAGTGATCGGCCCGCTTTGCAAGCAATAACCCCTACCTTAGCCAGAGTCATTTGAGGCAGTCCACTCTTCTGGAAGAACGCGACGGCCTCCCCGCCGCTGATCTTGCCATCTCGATCAGCGTCCGCAATCTGAAAGAACTGCTCCCACAATTCCGCCATTCTTGCTTGCGGACGCTTTCTCGACAGCTACTAGTATCAACTGCGCTTGCCCGCCCTCCTCGCAGCTTTGTCCAGGCTCAGCTTGACAATCTCTTTCGTTGATCCAGAGAAGTTCAAGTGAAAGTGGCCGGCCGCGAGTAGGCCGCCGGCGCGAGCACTGGAAGTTTTGACCTTCATGACTCGGAACTTCGCGAACTAGGTTGAGGGGCTGTAACTAGAGGGGGCAGACACCTACCGGAGCAATCACTGCGTCACATAAACTTGCATGCTGAATCTGGTAAACTACTACCTACTACAGCAGTTTCGGGGCAGGCTTCCCGGTTGCGTTCGATAGATAGGGTGTATTTAGTCTAAACTTACGCTAAATTTAGTCTAAGTTTAGTTGCGTTACCAGTTCATTTGACGTCATAGATGAGACCAATATTGATACGTGGCAAAGATTCGACGCGTCAGATGGGCCCTGAGCAGCGGATCTACGGCTCGGTGCCCACCTTGGTTTTAAATGACGTCAAAGCAAAAGCTAAAATCTGGACTGAATAGCCTAAACACAGACTAGATTTAGACCCTAAATACACCCTATCTATCGAAGGCAACCGGGAAGCCTGCCCCGAAACTGCTGTAGCTAGTGGGTGACTACAAAAAGATATCGGTGCACCTTCGATGATAGTCGTGACTCCGGATTTAACCATCAACTTCAGAGAACTCCGATCATCGACGAATGAAAGTAGACTCTGTCATACCGACTTCTTCATCAACGGCGCAAAAGGTTACCCTTAAGAAGTGCATCTGCAGATCTCTTCAGGATCTGTTAATCTTAGATACTCGATATGATGCCAGATGGCAGCGATTGAACACCTGTTGCGATGGGACGATGGTTGCCAACGTTTGCCGGCTCAGGAGAGCTTGCCACGTTTGAAGATATTTCCAGAATCCACTTGGCCGCCAGCCTGGCAGTCACCTGGAAAGAAGGGTTCCTTGAAAGAAGACTCTGAACAGGATTTGGATTTTGGGAATTGGAGCCCATATTCCAGGCCCCTCTTTCATCTAGCGGTCGGTCTTCGTGAATTCAAAAATGGAAGACCAGCTAGAAAGACCGGAGGAATGTGAAGCTGGCCAATAGGAATTTAGAAGATTGAAGACCGACCGCTACTCAATGGAAGAGGTCTCCGGTCCTTCTTCCGGTCGGTCTTCGTGTTGAAAAGGGAAACACCAGTGCAGACTTGTACTCACTCATTGGGTTTCGAGCCCCCACGGTGCGCGCCGCCTTCTCATTGGCCGAGTTCACCGATCAATTCGGAAGACCGGTGGGATTATTTCAGTACCGGCGGAATCCAGCGGTAGTAAAATAAATACTTCTTGACCGCCGACGTGGCACGAAGTTTTCGGAAGACCGCTCAGTGTAAGACCGGTTCTCCGTATTAAAAGGGGGTTTTGGCCAATGGGAATTTAGGAAAGGAAGACCGACCGCTAGATGGAAGAGGGGCCTCCAGACAATCAAAAAGCCCAGACTCAGACTCAGAGCTCAAGACTCCAGACTTCAGACTCCACTCCATACAGCAGAGAAAATAGGGAAGAGCTCTAGCTGCATGCCACAACCTCCCAACTTGTTCAGTCCCCCGCTTTCTTGTTGACATCAGTCGTCCTTGTGGAACAGCGGAGCATTGTAAGGTTTGATCCAAGCGAAAAGGCACTTCTTGTTTGCGCCCACATCAGCTTGAAGCCTTCCCGAAACCCGCAAGAAGACACACTATGACGTCCCTGTTCACTCAGGGGTTCACCCGCAAGGTTATTATTCCAGAAACGAAAGATGAGCAGGGTGCAATGCACGCTTCCAAAGAACAGCCGAGCCAGACCGCGAGCACAGCCTCACAGCCTGAGACCCCCCGGTCCCCACTTACCCCCCTGACTCCTCTAAGTATGGCTAGCTCCAGTACTTCTGGATCGACCCTCAATGCAGATCCCAATATGGAGAGGGGCATGGTGGTCCATCAGCAGGAGAAGGAGAGGGGGATGGTCGTTCACCAGAAGGAGAAGGCGGGGACTGTGCTGATAACTGTGAGGAGCATGTCAGACGAGGAGAGGAACAGGCTGGCGCACTTGGAGGTCTCGAGAAAGTAAGTCTCCAATTTGTTCTGAGAATCTGGTATGTGAAGAACTTGGGACTGACCCCAGAGTAAAGACTAGGAGGTGAGGCAGCTTTTGCATGTGCGAAAGGTTCTTTCAGATCAGATCAGATCAAAGTCTTTAGCAATGAGACACCCCCATCAGAGTTGCATGCTCTCTTGCATTGGTCAGCTGTTCACCAATGAGACGCCCCCATCAGAGTTGCATTTTCTCTTGCATTTGTCAGCTGTTAGCAGTGTACTTTTCCATTCTTACATTCTTGTCCAAATTGTGTGATATGGACTATAGCCCCATCTGATCATAGGTTGCGACCTATATTTGTTGAGAATCATGCCGGCGGATGGGTGGGGAAGAGGGAGGGGGGGTGACTGTGCGCAATGACCAGCGCAATGCATGTGGTCTAGGAGGCTGTTCAAAAGTTGAGGCGGCTTTCAGGTTCACCACAAAACTCTAGATCATTGTGCAGCAAAAGCAGCTAAAGCTTTTTCTTCCCGTCACACCTTGCAAGGAATACTTAATCTGAGGAAGTCACCCCTTGTGATAACGTTCAGTAGAGTAGTTGAAGCTTTCTATTTCCCTCTCAGCCTTTATTGCTGTTTTTGTCTCAAGAAAGTCACCCTTGCAGTGATTTGTCCGACTTGAAAAACTGTCAAAGGATTCATGAAGTGCTGAAAGGTGCATCCAAATCTGAGACCCTTTTCTCTGGATTTTGCAGTAAGCCCATCATATCAGAGAGACAAAACATCTGTCTCAAACCGTTAAGTCAATATTTGGATAAAGAAAATTTAGGTCAATATTTGGATAAACAAAATTAAGCATTACAATGGTGGTCCTCACATTGAAATAAATGTTTTGCAGGATGGAAGCTGCCGATGCTCTTCATGCTAGGGAGGCAGAAATTTTTGTGGAGAAGGCCATGCGAGATGCACTGGCAGAGCAGTACCATTGTGAAGCCAAAGCGGAGAAGAAGTTTGAAGAGGAAATGTCAAGCATTAAGTACAAGGAAGCACAGGTAATATACTGAAATGTTTTGTAACTTCTTGAATCTTTCACCTGTTTTGGTTAATCTTAGAGGCTGCTAACCTGGATCGCTTTTCAAACTTCAAGCTTCAAAACGGCTTCAATATGTCTTTCTATAAAAGGGCCAAAGTTTCAAATGCAAGGCTGCAGATGCAGCTGGGTGCTATTCCCTCCCGTTGAACATGGTTCCAGCGATGATCTATTTCTGCTTTATCTTCCAATTTCCTGTGTTTCGTCTTTTTCATTCAACTTTGAATCGAGTTGAAAACCGTATCCAATGGGGTTTTGACACCCTGCCCCTCAATGTTTGATCGGGCTGGTGGTGATTACTTGCATTAGTGCTCCTCAGAAAGTAGTGACCTTTGACATTCATCCTTTGATGTAGCGATCATGTTGCTCTGACATCTGTAAAAGAAACCGACGTTTGGAAGTCAATCATTTGGTTTGGCGACGTCGAGTGTCAAACACAAGTTATTCTTTGAAGATCTAGACATGTGGAAGGTGTAGGGTTAGTCAGTTTCAACCAAACCAATCTCGTTAGCACGAGCTGGCATGATCAAGTCGACTTTTGAATCTAGCCGCGTAAGTACACCATGTTGAAATCCAGTTCCGGCCAGAAACACTTTGAATGACATGGTGTGGGAGTTTTAAATATCCTTTTAGTGTGGCAGCCAGCTCTTCTTACAGTTAGCCCTTGGGGTTATGGAAGGTCGATTTGCGATCAAAATGGCTGCCCTGAAAGTGGTTTGTAAAGCTTGAACGCTCTTTGAAATTACTCAGACGACGTCTTTTCTTGTTGCTCATCTGAAAGGCATCTTCACGTAGATTATGGGGTTGTTCCGATGGAGCTTTTTCTAACTGTGAGAGAGACAACTTAGGCGTATCATGCTCTTCCAGAATGCATTCGATGTGTGCAGTTGAGAAAGAAGATCGAGAACAAGCTTACACAGGCCATGGCCGAGAGAACCCGGCAGGAAATCCTGGCCAAACAGAAGTTCGAGGAGCGCAAGATCAAGGCGAAGACTTTGGCGGAGGAGAAGATTGCAACCGCGAAGGTGCGGGGCACAGCAATTCGAAGCGGGAACGTGAGGGCGGAATTGGGCGCTTCTAGGAAAAAGTTCCACTGGAAATGGTAGGACGTGGAAGTGACGATATTTGCGGAATAATCTAGGTTATCAAGAATTGCAGGTAAATGCAAAAGAATTGGGTATGATGCACGTTGTTGCAGAATCAACGTGGCCAAAAATGGATGCAGGTTTGCTCGAAGGTTTCCAAATTCAACCATGGCGCGCGTACAGAAGGTAGAAAGTAGTCCGGACTACCAGGAAATTGTTAGGAACTTTGAACTGCCATGTGTTTTGACACGTGCAACCTTCTTCTTTGATGAGGTGGCACATGGCCTTTGGGTTATGAGCGTAGTGCTGTACGATATTTAGAAGAGAAGGATTGTTGGCCGAACTGATAGATTATCTGCCCCTTTGAACGTTTGCTGATTGAAACCTAATTATTTAGAAAGGTTTCTACCGTACGAGCTAGCTTGTTTGTTATCCCGTTGTCCGATCTCTGACTAACTTGTTTGAAGTACGTTTCAACATTAAAAATCTGATTGCTAGCTGTGCCAGTACTGGCATGATCAAACTCATGATTGCCGAGTGAGATGCGGGGTAATTCGTTTTGCTTGCCGTTTAGACACGCATACTACGTCTGGGAGAATGTTTGTATGGCTTCAGATTCCGACGATCTCGACTCAGGCAAAAACAACGTATAACTCAATACATGACAAGCCGCATATATACGCGGAATGACTGCTAGACTAAGACTCCGAGATGTAATATGCAAGTACGGGCATGACCCTGCGGGTCCACGGCATGCATGTGCAAGATAACTTACCCGGATATATGGCGGTCAATGCAGTGACCCCAATTACATTGAATGTCGCATGAATGCCTCAGTGAGCGCGGGTATTTACATCGAAATTCAACGATCATAGTTTGGAAGGGATGATAGTCAAAGTCATGGGTCCGACGATGACAAAACAAGCTACGTACAATACGAATGGCAGAGCGGAAGTGTTCTTGGTCATAAGCCATATCATATTAGGCTACATGCCGTGCATGTTCGAGTTTTGGGGCCAGAGCATTGTAGTTGGAAGGGCCAATTAAGGCACCCGGCCAACCCGGCCATAGCATGGGCAGACTGTTGGCAGCCACATGCGGCCAGTTGCCATTGTGGCGAGAACCCGGCGGCGATCGACCGTGAGCCTGTCCCTCTCGGACATGTACATTGCGCACGTTCCTTTGCACCGGCCCCCAATTTCCTTTTGAGCCGCGACGGTCTGCGCGGAAGGCCCCTTCTTCAATCTCCAGTTGGAACCGCAATCACTTTACACATCGAATACCACTCATGAAACTGGTTCTCAATCTTGTAAGAGGTTTAAAAACTACTGCTATTGTGAAGGCGATGTCTTATTGGTGTCACGAGGCCTGATCTTAGTGCACAGATTGTGGATCACTACATCTACTGCTTGCGCCTCGTTCTCTCGCAGAGAAGTTGTGTATACGAACAGCCGTCTATGCTTCTGCAATGCAATTTGCTTACGCTTGATCTCACAGTCCCTAACACTCCGAAGGTAGGTGTACACGTCTATTAGAAAGTCTACTTCCACAAGGGCTACGCTTCTGTCTAGCTGCCACAAATCTAGATTAAAAGCATCCACCGGATCGTACATCCAGCTTGCATGCTTGACTTCGAAGAAGTAGCCTATGCTGTTGTAGTCCACATACTCTGCAAAGGGCAGTGCGTGAAAGGGGGAACCAATGAAGACGGGTATGCATCCCATCAAAACGACCTCAGTCAGACGGCGGCTGGCTTGAGTATCACCCGGCAATACCAAGCAAAACTTGCTGCGCCCTAGTTTGCTTAACATTTGAGAATGTTCGTCACGCCCCGGGCACTGCGAGCACTTGCACTTGACAGAGACGTCCGGAGCATCTATCGTACTAAAAGTCTGCACTGCCGCATGTCGCATACGCATGCCGACTGAGCGAATCTCGGAGTCACTGCAGCCTGCTCGAAAGAACAGTAAGGTGCTGCGCGGTCGCGAGTAGTCCGCCTTTGGTATGCGCTTTGTGCTCGCATAAGGGAGGATGAGGTCCCAGCGCCCCGAGCGATCCCCGCCTCCGCAGATCTGGCCCCTCTCTGCACGAGATTTTGGCAACTTGGAAATGAGCTAAGCTTCACAACGCCTCGGAGAAACGGCTATGAACCAGACAGGTCATCCTGGACGTCAGCTTCGAGAAAAGCTCTGCTGCAAAATGGCACCTGTCAAGTAAAACAGCGGAGTTTCGAGAACCATTTCGAGCAACAGCATGATTTGTAAGGCTGTTGCCCATGAAGCTCTGCAAGTATAAGAAGATGGATGCCACCACGTATCACAGAACGGAAGATTAGCTGCTTCTACAAATCAGCCGAATCGTCCAACCACTGCCTGTTGAACTCAAGGATTGCATGCTCATTGCAGATCGTTTCGGAATCTCAAGTCCGACGAGCTTACCAGGACCCTTTTATGAGAAAGCGCCTGAACTCCGTTGTGATAAGATCCTTAAAGAACTTACTAGTTGTGCGGTCAAAGATGCACTTCATGCTGGACGGCCGTTTTAAAAAGCGGCTGCAATACAAGTGAACAAGTCGCAGATATCTAACTTTGTTGTTAGAAGCGACAGTCAAGCAGTCCATGTGTGATGCAGAACTGTCAACAGGCAATGAAGCCTTTCTCGCAACTTTGTCGACTTGCAATCAACTCACCAATAACGGCTGGAAAAATGGCGTTTGGCCACTCGCTGCAGACTAGAGGGCCAAAGATGTCCCCGCGACTGCTGTTGGGATCCGCGAGCAGGTATGCAAAGGCGCGGCCTTTGGTTTCGTTGTACTTTTGGAGATTGAGCACATGCTTTGCGGCTTTCTGGAGGAAGGGAGCAGTATCAACGTAGTCCAAGAATTCTTCTGGCCCTCCTTGCCGGACCTGCGATTGCCACCTGCATGAGACAAGACTCACATGGTAGGTCGACTGAGTGCTCACATATCTGATTAGAGCAGCAGAGTTGAGCCTGGTGAAACGCCACGCTTGTAAGGTCTTTGCGACAGCCTTGAATAAACACCTGTAGGAAACAGCTTCAAAGAAAAGGCATTTCAAGGAGCTGTCATCAAAAGCTTTCGGAATGCAGATTGCTAACAAAACGAAGGATTGAATGCACCGTTTCCTGAATTTCGTGTGGAGCTTTCGGAAGTTACGACCGAGGGACAAGCTAAGGCTGCATATCTTCCAGATGGTGCCTCCCTCTGTTACCTCCACTCAGAATTGCATTGCCTTTCTGGTTGTACTGATCCATACACTGCAAGCAAATCTGGAAGAGCTGGTATCTACCTGCTTCAAAGATACCGTATGGAAAAAGCATGAGTCCCTTTGGCTGTCAGTTCCAACTGTACCAAATAACAATTCCTACGATCTGGCAATCCTCCTTATCTTGAGCCTTCCTGACCAGACTGAACAAAAGAAGACCGTGAAGGTTGAATAAGATCTTCAATTCTCACCAGGTCCAGTAGCAATAATCATTCACGATGACGACGTCAGCTTGGTCGATATCCTCAATGGAGTACTTGCTCTCTGCTATTGCTTTTGTGATGTAAAAAGCTGCTGCATGCTGCCGGTGAAAGTGCTCTACCGGTCGATTATAACCATCCACGCTCCAACCCCATTGACCGTAAGGCCAGACTGCTGGATCATTAGGATTACAAGTAGGAATCCCAACGGGTATTGCTAGTTCTTTCGAAACGTCCAGGACTTTGATCCGACAGCCTTGTAGATCTTTGGTCAGATCGTACGACAGCGAGTAGTTGGTTACGCCCGAGCCTTGAAAGGTGTCGACATTTTTGCAGACAACTAGCTCAGCAGAGCTGAACAAATAGATAAGGGGCTCAAGAAGGATGCTTGTACCACTACCTGCAGGACAGAATCCCTTGTTCAGTTTCTTCAGGTGGCTGTCCAAAAGCTGGATTACTGACCTTCTGGTGAGCTAGCTGGAGCTATACTGCGGCAGAATTGCAGGGGCCAAAATGAGATTAGACGAACAGTGCATTCAGGAGACAGTCATGCCTCGCAAGGCTTGGAGCTAGGTCTGGCAAGAGGTGCGCCAGACCAAGGTGACCTCCAAGAAACCTGACCTAGCTCATCGCAACCATTGACACCTCAGCTTCTCACCCAATTGCAAAAAGTACAAAACTCCTGGTCTTACCCATTTCAAAGTTTACCTCTTGATAATCCTTTTTGAACAAACCAAACTCATCAATCTCTTTGATAGACACCTACCAGCGACTGCAACTTTCTTTCAAGCAGACTCAGATAGACTTCTGCATAGCAGAGGAGCATACTGGAGCTTGGTGCCCTTTGTTTGACGGATCCTTCAGCTAATTTGGAAGAGGCAGTACGGAAAACATGTCACTTGTCAAAAAACACACCTTCCCTCAATTGTTCCAAGATGGCTTACCGGGGAAATTGGTTAGCCCCAGGAGAAGAAGGAGCGCTAGCAATCCGTACTGCACCACCTTCCGACTCGCGGCCCTTTGCGCAAAGTGCAACGAGTATGCTTTCATGATTCCTCAGCCAGAAGTTGAAGTCGATCTTTTCATACTCCGTTGAGCTGGTCGTTTTGACCAATCCGCGTAGGAAGTGCAATAGAGGATCCTGGGACCCTTACTGTGAGTTTCACAGGCTTACCGCACGTTACCTCAAAAACTAGACATATCGCTAGCTGTGTACTCTTCACCTAAATGGGTCTTTTCTTGCTCTTTTCTTGCAGCGAAATGCTTTCGTGAGCTAGGTAGTCGAGCAGAGCTTGTAACATGATGCTCTGAGAGCCTCTGGAGTCAGCGGCCCTCCCCCATTTCCAGCTTTCAGCGGCCCATGTGCTGAATGAACGTTATGCCTATTACCTACTCACGGATGGAAGTTGATCAGCGTCCACGTGAGAGTATCCCTCGATGCATCCAAGTTGCTTCTCTGCAGAAGTGAGAGATGCTTATTGACATTGCTGACAGTGACAGCAGCAGAGCTCTCAGCCATTTCAGCTCTGCAAACCACAGCAGGCTGCCGCGGGCGCCAGCTCCTCTGGAACAGTTTTCTCAGTTTCATCATCATGTTGTCATCATTCATGAAATCTGTCAGTCAACTGTCGAGGTACTTCGCAGACTGTCCGATGGTCCACGTGATCATCGGATTAAACAACCAAGCCACTCAACCTCAACTGCTGAGCCGTCAATACCGTGGATTCAAATTTTATCGACGGTTCGTGAGCAGTGTGGCATACAGCGCAAATGTTACTGGAGTCATTTGACACCTTATTATAGTTTTAAGTGCCACCCGGTAATGACACAGTTTATTCGTCCCCTGATTGGCCAAAACCCTTACCGAAGACTACGTTGACCAGCATTCAGTACAACCTTTGCAGTCCCCTCAACCTAGATCGAAACAACGTTATAATCTGCACCGTTCGATCCTCATCGACGGCTTACACTAGCCAATATTGAGGTTTTGACCTTACTCTACCTGATGCCGGCCGGTCTTCGCTCAGCCACATGAAGACGGCTTCAAGACCCAAAGAGGCAGTGTCGATATACGGTATAAGGATTCAACCAAACCCACAAACTCTTAACACCCCACCAAGGGTCTGAGCTTATTAACCTGCTGACCCAGCACCTTAACTCAGCTTGAAACCCATGTAAGGTGGCCATTCTCTTTTGACACCTTATTATAGTTCTAAGACGGTACGCCCCGGTAATGACACAGTTTATTCGTACCCTGATTGGCCAAAACCCTTACCGAAGACCACATTGACCAGAAATCAGTACAACCCTTGCAGTTCCTCAACCTAGATCGAAAAAACGTTAGAATCTGCACCGTTCGATCCTCAATCAACGGCTTCAACTAGCCAATTTGAGGTTTCGACCTTCAAGTTACTCGTGAGTTTTTTTTTTGGAAAATACCGTCTTGCACGTGCGGCTCATCAGCTGGAACTCGCAGACTAGCGTGAAGTTACTCGTGAGTCGTAACTGATGCCGGCCGGTCTTCGCTCAACCACGTGAAGACCCAAAGAGGCAGTGTCAATATGTAATAATCTATTCAAAACCACAAAGTTTTAACACCGCACCAAGCCGGTCTGAGCTTGTTAGAGGTTAACATTAACCTGCTGACCCAGCACCTTAACTCAGCTTGAAACCCAAGTAAGGTGGCCATTCTCTTTAATATATATAGGTAGGAGTCCTACCTTAAATTCATCCTGGGGAAACATTGCATTGGTATGTAATATGTATCTCTTTGCAGGCGAATTGTCACGTTGCCTCGGTCGTACATGATTGCGAGACGCGAGTCATCGCCCAATCGCCCCGAGATCGCCCCCCCAAGCCAGTACGTCCTTTAGTAATACCCGCCAGCGAGGTACTGAAAATGGGCTTAAAATGTTAGTAGCTACAAGTATGTTTGACTGTTGTGGACAATTCTGGACGAGCAACATGCACCCTTTTTGGTAAATCAGACGGACATTCATAAGGCCTTTCCTGTACAAAACTGGTGCGCCTGAATTCGTATATGCCAAGGGGAGTAAGGGAAAAGCAATCAATCTTCATAGTAGCACATGTAAGTACACGAAATCCAATTTCTAGTGCCAGGCGACCACTGGGCGAACCAGCCGCATGCCACACTGACAGTCCGTCGAGAACCCGTCGAGAAGGGCGTGACTCCCAACGGCAGGGCTGCCGCCCGGTTCAGTCTGTCGGAAGCAGCAGCAGCGCCAAATACTGTCCGATGCACGCTGGCCTTATGTTCAAACAGCACGTGAAGCCGATTGTGTGATTGAGTCTGATCCCATCAAACCCCCATCAAACAGCAATTGTACGAGGGCATACAGTAACGTGGTGAGAAAAGGGGCCTCTCCGCTCAGAAACGGATCGATAATCTTGTGAACGCTGTTCTGAGGTTACGTCTGACCTGGGATCACAAGTCTCAAGTTGTACCTCAGGGCTGCGCCTTTTCATCGCTGCGTTCTAGTCGGTCGATCGCTCGGACGTGTCTGTGTCAACCCGGCACCCGTTGCCTAAACTTTAGACAAAGATTATTCTTCAAGGCGAAGTCAGTTCAGCGCAAAGCTTGGGGTACTCCACCGAGCCCCCACGCCTGCCGGAGCTTTTGCTCCTAAAATCGGCGTGGTTAGAGCCTCCCAACTGGTCTAGAGGCCTGATGCCTTGGCACTAACACAGTTGTTTCTAGCTGCCACTTGATCGTTGCTGTCAGGTGTGGTCACCAGCGGTTTCCGAGTTAAACCGCTTTAGTAGGGCCTAGAGCCCCGATGTCGGGGTTGAAGGGGTTTGAAAGTTTTGAACCTGAAACCTAGTAACCCTATTTCTAATTACCAGGCAATGCGCCTAGCCACCTGGGTCAAGACCTTCACCTCGAGCGAGCACCCGGGACTGAACCCGCTATCCACCGAATCCCCGGACTCGTATAAAGGGAGCCACTCCCGTATGTAAGTGCAGTACGCGCGCTTGATGCCCAACTCGCATAGGGTATTAACGACCTCCGTGTCGTCCCGGTACCGGAAGATGCAGTCGCCGGTCTTGAAAAACTCGGAGAAGTCGTGCGGCTTTGGCCCGTGGAAATGGACGATAAACGCAGTGTCCCGGTGCTCGTGGTAAGGCTTGGCGTTAAACGTCTGGGGCAGCTTGGTGTGCTTTACCTCCGTTTCGTAGAATTGGTTGTAGGCCCCCTGCGTACATAATACGAGCGGGTTTATCTCCAGCAGAGTCCCACTTTGCCGCTGCGCTTGCCGAGTAAATCTAGGATTTGTCAAAAGCTGGTGGCTTTATACAACCTTGATCACGGTCTGCAGATTCGAGGCTGCTGGATTGCCCGTTACGAAGGTTTGGCTGTACCAGTTTCTCGTACAACGGCCTACGACAAGTTTGGATGAGGTGGACGTACAGTTTCGACGACCGAACCCGGAGCTCGAATACGAGCCTGTGATGACCGTTTGGTTCGATTCTCGAAAATGTTCAAATGGTGAAGCGAGCGCTGAAAGTTCGACGCCATTCAGTGAATTGGCTCTAGGTTGAAGGGTTCAAAAATTTTCCGGGATAATCACGTTGCTCTAATGTACCCCGAGTTGTCAAGCGAGAGATCCGGGTTGGGAGCGACACGAATGTCGTGCAAACTTGATGCGTCAAGCCGCCAGGGTCCAGCTGGCAGTGTGGAAGGGAGGCCGGAATTCTGCTTCACTCATCATCCAACTTGGACCAGGGTAAAAGAATCTTCGTTTGTCATCAAAACAGGACAGATGCAGATACGCTCGATGATTGTGCTCACCTGATCCTGGGGCCCGTAGTTCGAGAAGAAGAGCCCGTTCTTGTTGCCCAGAACGAAGCTGAGGAACCGATCGTAAGTGACGCGTAGCCTTGGCAAGTTCATCAGCATGATCCCAGCGTTGTACGGGAAAACGTCTTTCGCTTCCGACGCCATCCCAATGGCCGGCGGCAATGGAAGGCCGAAGTCGGAGAGTCTCAGCGCGCGCCGGAAGTAGACGTCGGAGTCCTGAGGAGTGGGCGGAACGATGTCAGCGGAATGAAGCTTGCGGAACTGATTCATTAGTCTGTAGTTTTGCAGATGCGGTGCTTGGAGCGCCAGAATTAGGCTTCGGTCGAGAATGAAAGAATCCGGAGGCTTTCAGGGAAAAACTATTTGCGACTTCGTTTCGGCTACAATGTGCAAGCGCCACGGATTCGGTCACTTTCTTTGCGGGCCCAAGTCTCAGCTCGCGCCAGAAACCGACGGCATGTATCAGCAAGCGAAGCCGACAGGCGGAATTGCGGAGCGGAAGGCCGGACCGCTTTCAAGCAGATTGCTTGAAGAGACTCGCGACAGGCCGAAATACGGCGACCTTCGCCAGCGGCTGTCAGCTTCAGAGTCGAGGCCTCAGAGAAAGGCGCTCTGAAAGATGATCGATGATCGCACCATCCACGCAGACACTCATTCTGCCTGATCGATCGAAAGACGGTTTCGGTTGGTTCTTCTGGTGTCAACCGCTTATTCGCGCCTCAGAAAGGTCGTGATGAGTGGTCCGAAGTTTCGAAGTGGCCATGGTCAACATAGAGAAAACAGAAACCGGTTAGCTTGTCCCTTCACAAACGCCTTTTATGAAAGTCACCAGCTTTCTTGGGACCGAACCAAGACCGGAGAATCTTACCGTAAACAGTACGTATTCAAACTGCTCCAACTCCGGAACGATCGGGATGTCGATCCGCTGCCACGTGCCCACCGCCATTTCCGGGTTCGCGTACAAGTGCGACGTGCGCAAGTTCTCCTTTCCTAGGAGCCGCGCAATCTGCGTGGCCCACGAGGGGTTATGGTAGATGATCCGCACGTTCTGGGCGACCAGCCACTGGTGAATCTCCGCTGTGCGGTTGCCCGAAAAGAGGCAATACGGCGCCAGCGTGCCAAACCGAGCCGCGGACCGGACCGCAGCCTTGAGCATGTAGTCGTACTTTTGGCTCCATCCGTTATAGGTGAAGACCCAAGGAAGCCTGCAAGAGTGGAAATTTTCGATAAGAAAATGACGGCTTTGTTCGCTTTCTTTGCGTTGTCCTATTGAGTTTCCCATTACAATGGTTCTTGAAGTAAAAAGTCACAACAGGACATGCTCTAGTACGGACTCGGACGAGTGACCTTCGTGATGTAAGAACGTGAATTGGAAAGAGAGTACATGAATTTTATAGCAGCGTCACCGCGGCAAATGGAGCAGAGGGGAAGAGACACTGGCTACGCAGATCTCCCTGCATTGGCAGAAGGGTAAGAAGGTCTGCGAAAAAGGAAAAGCACCTGATGCGCCTGAGCTTTAGAAACGCGAACAAATTCAAAAGTGGATCGATCCAGCACCTATTTGAGTTGAGAATTGAGCAGGTCAGACGATTCATCAAACTGGCCCTACCGCTCCGCCTGATCTATCAGACTGTAGAAAACCGGAATTGAGCAACTCTTATCCGAGCAGATGAGTCTAGAATTTCCGTCGTCTTATGTCATACCTGAGCACGGGTATAAAGTCGTCGAGCGGGATGTTTCCGCCGTTGTACCAGCTCGCCCATTTTTCCGCCCGGGTCCGCTCGTAGATGAGCAGAGCGGAGAAGCTCGAGACGGAATTGCCCATGAATTTCTCGGACGCGAGGGCGATGTAGAAGTCGACCAGCGCGCTCTGTTCGCGCGAGAGAGGGACGGCCATCTCCGGCAGAATGTCCTCCTGAGTGTAAACCTGCACTCCCGAAAAGCGTCGTCATTTGTACGAATTCTTGACCGCGGCCGCTTTCGTGCGTCATTTTGGCTCTGGAGCAACTCGGACAAAGCTTGTTAGATCAGTAGGTGGGTTAGGGGAAGATGGATCTCTAGCTGTTTCTCTGGTTCTGAATTGCTAGACATTGTTTCTGTGCAAATGATGGCGAATCTCCTAGGGAATCTAATCTCTCTTATCGGTTTTTACTTTTCGACAACACACGCCTTGTCCGCACCACTTTGCGAAGGTACTCGCTTCGTTATCACGGAGTGGGCGTGCCAGTCTCTGACGTCTGACCCGTAAGAACCTTGTAGTGACTTCACCAAGTTTCGCACGAGGCGAGGCGAACAAGTGTTTGCGAAAGCCAATCTCTCTGGTACGGTGGCAGGCCAATCTTTGAGAATTTTTAAGCACTATCTTCGAGATGCGCGATTCAAGAGCGATCCATCTTTTGTCGAACTTCGCATCCTTCCTGAATTTGTGAAGGAAGAATCATAAATTGCTCCGGCTTTGAACTGCCAGATGGGCCGGCAACTTTTCTTCCTTCTTCAAAACAGCTGTGAGAGTGCGACTTGCAGTCCAAGAAACAGGGTCGGGAAACTGACCTTGAATCCCGCCTTTTCCAGGTTGCTGAAGATAAGGTCGCGGTTTGTTGGGTCGATGTCGGACCACATACTGGCCACGTAGAGGGGTCGAGAAGGGGACACGCGTTTCGCCAGCAGAGCCTCGTGCACCGTCCACGTGTTTGTGAGGCAGTTGTTACGGATCCGGCCGTCGGGGATGCTTTCCCAGCGCCGGCAATGTGCGAGCCAGTCGTTTTCGGCCCGCATGTGCAGAAAGGAGAAGCCAGCACCATCTGGAGGACAGGTTATTTTTATGCTTGGATTTGGCTCAGATTATACTGCTCGGAGAAACGACGCCAATACAACTTGGAGAATTTGACAAATCTAGCTCGGAGTAATTTCAATCGAGATGGTTTCAGCGTCCTACGTGCTCAAAAAAGGTTCACATCCTCGTCCATGGGAGCTAGAGAGCGCACTTCAAACAGATCCGAGCTTTGCAATACTATTCAGCTGATGGACATGGTGAGATCGAAGAGTAACTGAAATGCAAGCTTCTCAGACCACCAGCTGAATGCAGTGAGCAGGCCGCTAGATGCATAAGCCCCAGATGGCAAATGGGGAGGGCAAGCCCCCCCAATTTCATTAGACCAACCAGCTGAACTTTCTAGCAGGTTTAGAAGAGCATCCATTCTCGTTCCAGTTTATCAAACTCCAAAAACGAAAAAAAGAACCGTTTGTAGGCAGTCCCGATTCTTGGAATCTGAATGGAAAGCAGCTGAGCCAATTATCTTCCGTGCAGGGACCAAGCATGATTGGCTTTTGTAAGAAAACCTTTTGGAGTCCTTGTGGTCTTTGACAGGCAACATTCGGATATCTTTTGTTATGCAGGTGGGCTGCTTTCTGAGCTGCCATCTGCCCTAGATAAGCCGACCCAAAAAACCCACAATTGCGGAGTGCAATCTGCAATTCCAGCTGCTCACCTCCGTCGCCCACAGGCTCAGCTCCATTGCGCCCCCCCTCAGCCAGTGTCGCTACTGCATGGGACACGATCTCCTCGTACTGCTTTGCGGGCTGGAGGGATTCCAATACTGCCCAGAAGAGCTCCTCATTCTCTTTGATCACATCCCTTGACAGCCGCAGGAACGCGCACTCGATCGCGACATGAAGATCGTGCTTCCTCTCCGTGCTCGCGACGGTGTCAGTGACGCCCTCAAACGAGACCTTCACGTACTCGCTTAGTGGGGGGGCCTCTGCCGGGGTCAAGACCTGCATTCCCAACCTGGAGGCAAGCCCGTTCCTAAACTCCTGAACATTGTAGACTTCTGACATTGGCACAGAGCCGTTGCTGATCGTATCCACAATCCAGGCATCGCTTCTCTGGAGGCCGTTCAAGAGGAAATCTGGCAGAACTGGGATCCTGTCCGTCAGCTTTGCAATCACGATCCCGTACACGAGAGCCAACCGCTGGTTGGCAAAGCCGTTACACGTGAGGAAGCGGAGCGTTCGAGACTCGATTGCGTGCTGGACATTGCGGGTAGGCACGGGCGGCAGCGTTCGTGCAGGGATGCTCCACTCGGGTGCGCTTTTCTCGACAGAGTCTAGGGCCCCCGCCAACAATTCCTTACTGTGCATGCTGCTGCTCAAGTGCCGGCTCGAACGCACTGCCGTCAGGGCCTCCCTTTCCCGATTTTGCAGTGACTGCGCGGTGCTCTGCTCAAAACCCCCCTGCAACGAAACCTTTTCCGAGCGCAACTGCACATTGATGACAAACAGCACGATTGCGGCGAGTCCGAGGACCTGATACGACGGGAGGAACGACCGGAAGAAGCGCCGCTGAAGCCGCCCCCTCACTTTTTCATTTCCAACCCAGCTCGCCATCGTTTCAATGACCGTGCTGCTACCTGCGTCCCCCATTCAACCCAGCGATCCCACAACCATTTGCAGTGGGGGCGGGGACTAGCATGCGGGGGAGGAGGGCGGATACAACTTAGACCCAGAGCTTGTGAGTTTGTCGGACCTGCAAAAGCCAGCAGCTAAGCTTGCAGCGGTGAGGTCAGGTTGGTTGCTTGCAAACACTTCTTTGAGTTTCTGATGACCCAGGCTGGGAAGCAGATTGAGGCACTCAGAGTCAGGGACACCCAGACTGACCTGAAAAGGTACTTGGATCGCTGAATCCAATGATGCAGGAGGTAATAGCTCCTTCGCCCCTTCTGAGTACATGATTCCTACATCTATCTAGCTATAGCTCATTCTGCTGTTTCGCCTCGAGCTGCTGTAGTGACAACACACGGTTGTCGGCTCACTAAACCCTATAGTACCGGTGCCTTTATTTGTACAGAGCTGCAATGAGCCTGTGTGGCGACTCATGTTCAGGCGTCGTTGCGCAGCGGGTTACAGAAGTGCGGACGCTGATACGAATGAACGATTCTACCTCTTTTGTGGTAAAAACAATGATGCGAACTGTGAATTGACATCAATGCCATTGTACCTGAATACTGTCCTTGCATACCGCCCCCTGCTGTTGATGCGCACGCCAGGGCTTTAAGAGAGTTGTCCATTCTACGGTTCTCGATAAGGACCGTGCTACCCAGACTTGCTGTGATGCTGTGCAGAATCCATACTCGACGGTAGACACCCATTGCCGTAGCTCGGTACCAGTCCACATGGACGGTGCCTCGTGGAAGTTTGGGAAACCAACTTCCACTTTGACTTGGCCGCTTCACAGTCCTAACTTAGTACGTTTGCGCGGCTGGGCCACTTGTACTGGTAGGACCTACTGGTACTAGGTAGTCTAAGTACCAAATGCGCCGACACACCAGCCTACCTGGTATTGAAGCTGCAGAGGGAGTGCAGCACCAAGAGGCATGCGCGCGCGCATTGACCACCTTCTGCCCGCATGCACGCTGTCTAGGTACGCGCTGCCGTCCGGCGGCCGGCCGGTTACAGCTTTCACAGCGCCAGCCTAGGAAATTTGTCCTGAAACCCACCGTGGCAAAGCAGCCGGGCGGGAAGCACCGAGGATGAAAATTGGGTCTGAATGTCGACGACAGAGCTACCGGTCGAAGTCGGTTGATTGCCCCTGCTGTTGACAGGAACCGTAGAAACGACGGCGCCGCTCTTGAAAGGACCAAGTCTATACCGTGGTACTCGAGATCACAAAGCTGAGAGTCACACTCACAGAGGAGTCGACGCCACACCAGCTGCCGGCAGGTGGAAAGCTCGTAGTCTTCCAGGATTGCTAGGGCTTTCGAGCGTCTTGGTTGCATACTACTACTACTACTAGTAGCAAGGATCTTTGAAGCAGACACATCCTGTAGGGGCATTGACCGGACGTTGGGCAGCTTTGTCCAAAGGAGCTCAATGTATAACAGTCGTTAGAATCATGACGTAAGATGTATATTATACAACTTCAGAAAGAAAGCCAGCTTGAGCCAGTGAGCTGCGAGTAACACTTCATAATGTATATTCGTACCGTTCTAAAGTTCCATGCCACAGTCCGCGAGGCAATGAACACACTGCACTGAAAGACTGATTTGGAAAGTTCTGAACAGCGTATGTCGCTCTGCACAAAAATTCACACAACCATTCAGGCGCTATGGGTTTACTGGCTACTGCATACTACATCAGCAGGTCCTCTCCTATGCAGGGTGCACCCATTGTCCCAATGAGATCCTGAGATACAGCTGAGCTCAATGCCCCTGCGCACCTTATAGATCATTTTGGAGAGATGGAAGGATGAACCAAGCTCAGCAGAGTCGGTGCATCAAGCAAGTGCAAAAATGTGGCAGCCTTTCAAGGTGAGAGAGATTGCAGTTTCTGCAAGAGGCCTTTTAACTTTTTCTGCTTTCTCTCGATGCTGTTTCTCAACATGAGTATCTTTCCCAGAGAAAGTCTTCTGCGCAATGCGTTCTTTCAAGAAGGCGGGAAGCAGGGGTATTCAACTGCCGGTTGACGTGGGCATTCAACTGCTTTTGTCCAAGCTCGTTGCTTTGGATTCTGACAGCAAGCAGATTATTGTTAGATTTGGCGTGAATAGAAAGGTCTTCAGGTGTGCCACCACATCTTTGACGAGGCAGACAAGGGACACTTGTCACTCTCTAAGCTACACAACTCCAGGCCACCACTCTCATCAATAGACCACCATAAATCTCAGCATTACATCTCAGCCGCTTGTCCTTGGCCCGAACAAGATGCTGGGGAGCTACCCCTTTTATAGAACTTCAGCCTGAGAAGGCGCGTTTGCACATGACATGAACACCGGCAAGGTGTCCTTTGTAAATGCTTGTTGGGTCTTAAGAGCCTGAATTGCTGCCATATGTAATTGCCTGCAGCCTTTAGAAGCACCTCGTTCGAGAGCACTGAAAGAGGCGAGGATGCAGATGGCCAACAAAGCAGTATCATGCTCTGAATCCATCTCTTCCTCTTCCATGCTCTAGTCCCGTGATCAGCGGCAGCCTGGCAGGGGCTTTCCACATCCGCTGGCAGTTGCTGGCAAGTTCGTGGCATTCCGCACTGTACTTGTATGCTGCTGCCACGGGCCAGTCAAGGGGCGCGAAGTACGAGGCACCAGGTACTAGGTGAGGCAACATCACGAGCTCAGTCTAAGCATTTCGATGGAAAGCGAAGCAGAAGAACTGTGGCAGGAAGGTACATGGTTGACGGCAGGTATTCCCCTCTCAAAGCTGGACGGTCGGGCTCGGCTGTTTCTGTTTTCGCCTCTCGTCGTTGCCTTTCTTAACAGATATGTTATTGTGTTGGCCGTTTTTGGTTTTGTGAATCAGCTTTCCCAGTTCCTCCATTTCGTCATCCTGCTTTCATGCATTCTACCACTTTTTCTTCTACTTTCCTCTCCTGTATTCCGCCGTGTTGCTTTCTGGGCCATATCTTTCCATTGCCACCTTCTGTAATTACCTCTTTCACTTCGGATGCCCGGCGTCTCCCGGTCAATCTTTTCTTGACGTTGGATGCAGATATTTCCTGTGATACTCCTTCATCGCTAGGCTGCCCTTCTCTCTAGGTGACGGCCGCGCTACATTCCCTTTAACTGTAGATTTGGCATTCTTCCATAGACCAAGGAACAAGCAGTCCTCACTGCCGGGGCCGAGCTCTTCTATGACAATCCGTGGCCATTCGCTAATCCTGAGACCAAGGGCAGGCTTCATTGTTTTTGACGAGGAGGCGCGGCTTTTTGTCATCTGACCAGTAATTCTCGGTGGTGGACATCGTTCTCAACTGCTGCAGTTACCCTGTGCAGGGTCCAGAACGAGCACCTGCCGGGAGGCGCTGCAGATGCAGATGGACGTCCACGAGAACCTGCACGAGCAACTCGAGGTCAGGACCGGCGCTCTACTTTTTGGTTATTCTTAGCTGGTCGATGAAATATCAAAATCGCCACGTGGCCGGCCATTCAAGTCGCTCAATGCTTGTATTTGACCTGAGGTATAGAAGGGGTTATCGTATCTTGGAAAGCGTTGCTGGTTGGCGTAAGTTGCTTTCAGGAAGCAGTGCGGGCTTCGAGTCCTTCTTCGTCCCTTCGGATCTCGGATCTCCCAAAATGAACCATTACTCGCAAGATTTCCCGAGTCGCTTCACCTCTTTCGTAACTAGATCAAGCGAGTGCTTGATAAGCACGCCTGGAAAACGGAATCTGTTCGAAGATCGGCGTCCTTGTAGACTAATTTGAGTACTGTAGCATTCGAGGAAGCAGCAGAAAGCAGAGTCGCAACAAGCCTGACGAGCTTGCAGCCCGTCAGATTACTTTGCAGAACTTCAATGGTCGCCCGTTACATGCAAGCGCACCAATCTTCCGGCTGCATGGAACACTGAGCTTCTTTGCCCCCTGCAAATGTGCGATCTCGTGAAGATGAATTTATATCTGGCGGCCTTTGCAGCTCGAAGGACAACAACTGCGAAGGCACGGGCTACCACTTCGACTTCAGTCCCGCGGGCTTCGCGCAGATTGCCACCGTGCGGGCAGGCACCGTCTTTATGCAGTGGCGACGGTAAGTAGACCGCAAACAGACCCGATTGTTTTGAGGGAATGGTCGCTGTCGAAGCTGCTGCTTTTACCAGTTACTGCTGGTTTGCGTGGAAGCTGACGTCTGCTCAGTGCCAACAACGGTGGGTTTGAAGTCACCTGCTTTTTCTGCCGCATCCAACGCAATCTATTTCGTATCGAAGTGCTGACGTCGATAAACGGAAAGTTTCATGACAAGTTTATATGCCCGCTCCGCTCAGTCGCTCATGTCCCTTCACAAAGCCTTTGCCGATCCATAAGGCAAGCTCTCAATCCATAAGATCCTCTAACAACCTGGTTGCTCTTAAGCGTCTGGCGAGCGGATAAGCTCCAGAAATGGCCTTCGAAATGGACTGTGTAAGACGAACATTCAAAGAACAATTTGGGGTGCGCCCGTGAAGAACACCGCACTCGACTCGTCCGGAAAGGGCGATTGTTGGGTTCCCCCGCGATAATCAAGCCAACCGTTCGCACTTCCTCGCTGTTTTCCAGCGTCCGGTGCCAGCGCCAGGGCAACTTCCAGTTGGTCACCGAGTCGGAGGCGAACCCCTACTGGTTGAGCGTCATGGTACGGAACATTGCCGGGGACGGACATTGCAGACTACCGGTCCGGATCGTCCGACTGGAATGCAATGAACAGGGCGGAAGATGGGGGCTTCGGCGCCGACTGGTTTATTTCTGCCCGCCCTCGGGCGCGATCACTGTCAGGTGAGCGGGACCTTCTCTTCAGAACGGGTCATTCTTCCGCTCAGAAACACATTTTGATGATCAGCGCCTCTTTCATTGCAACACATATGCATTCGTTACTGCAGCCGAGGAAGCAGGGCCGTGTGCTAAATGGGGTTGTCGCAGGAGATTGTCGAAGCTCGATCGTTTTAGCTCAACGTTCTTTGCTCGATTAGGCGGAAGGCATCAAATATCCTTTCTATCCGTGCTGCCTGTCTAAGATGCATAAAGACAAAGGCTTCCCGGACGAGAGCTGCATTCTGAGCGATGCATCTTCGCTTTCGATCCAACGATTGTCCTTTGTTCTTACCTGAGCCCGACGGCGAAGCTTCATCCTTTCTCTATCTTACGGTTGTTCGTTTTCGCCCATCCAGAATCAAGACCGACCGGAGCCAGACCGCCGAGCTGACCGACTGCATACCCAGCGGCTGGTTGCCTAGACAGAGCTACGACTGCGGGACAAACATTCAATCAGGGGAATCCCCCTCCAGCACTTACAACCAATTCCGCCCCTGCGGACAACCCAGCCCGTCCGACACCCAGAGTTTCCAGCCTGCGGACACGCCACAGGACACTTCCCCTCCGGACACCCCGGCCCCTGCCATGACGTCAGACCCGGCTACCCCCGCTCCGGTGATCACGTCACCTCCGGACACCGCCCCTCCGGACACACCAGCCGCTGCGACGTCGTCACCTCCGGACTCCGGACACTCCGGGCACCGTCCGAAACGTCTGCCCCGACCTCACCTCCGGGCACGCCAGCACCGTCCGTGCCGGACACGCCTGCCCCGATGGAGGCCGTGACGTCAGCTCCGGACACCCCCGCGCCGACGGACACTTCCGTGCCGACGGACACTCTTCCGCCGGACATTCCCTCGCCCACGGATGGCCCCACGCCCACGCCAACGGATACGAACCTGCCGGACACTCCCACGCCGTCCGAAACACCCGTTCCAGACACCCCAGCGCCTACGGACGCCCGCCCCCGCCCTCCTCACCGTCCGCCTGATGCACACACGGTGGCGCCGGACGCGTCCACGAAAGCGCCCGCGAAACCAAGCCCGTCGTTGTTTCCGTCACAAGCCCCGTCGCCTTCTCCGTCCAACTCGACGTCTCCGTCACAGTCTCCGTCACCGTCACCCTCATTACCGCCGTCCCGTCACCTTTCCGTCAATTTCACCGTCGCCCTCCGCCTCAGCATCACCTGTATTGCCCCCCTCACCTCTAGAATGCCAACCTCAGCCACCGCCCCAGAAGTCCCCCATCTCCCTACCCCCACTACACTGTTCCCCCCACCATCAGCGGCTGATTCTCCCCCCCCTCCGGCGGCCAATCGCCCCCCTGCCCCCGGTAGCCATTCCTTCCCCTGCTCCCGCGCCCCCTTCACCAATGAACGCTGAAGACTCAGTGAATTCAACCGCTCCCAGCCCTTCGCCGAATTACAGCCCCCTCCTCAGCCCGTCCATGGCCACAAAGAACGCGCCAGATTGGGCTCGAGCCCAACCCCGTCTTCAAGCCCTAGCGCATCCGCCAACCCTAACCTAAGTCCTAACCCGAGCCCTGACCAGAGCCCTGACCCGGGCCGCAACGCTTATTCAGGTTCCACCCCCGAGCCAAGCGGTAGCCCGTCTTCGAGCGCCGCCAGCCCTAGACCCTTTCCTAACCCGAACCCTAACCCAAACCCGTTAATCCACCCCGGTACAAACACCACAGAGAATGGCTGCCTTTGAGCCGTTCCAGGACCCCCGGTCAGATTATACCGAAACCAACTGCTCGACGCTCAAGAGCAGCCATAGTCTGCAGACCAGCACCTCTGGCAGCATTACGCTCTCGCTGTTCTTAACCAAGTGCTGGGTGACCGCGTCGGGGGCAAGTCGCTCCTCTAACACCAGGTCAAGATTGTGAAGAGCGACCGGGAGATGTCAGTAACCGGGTTAGATCTGGACGGGGCTGCAACTCTGGAACCCGGAAATCTGGAACGTATAGGTGGCGGCTCAAGGCGAGTGCACGCTGCACGCGTTGCGCGTGGCCATAAATCACGGCCGGTTTGACCACGTTTTCGGCTGCCTGACGACGGCCGCGGCCGCGCCTGACGTCACCAAGTTTGAAGACGTTATAGCAGTACGATGCTAGATCCGGACTGCTTGGTAGGAAACCCGAAGCCTAACCACTGAGTCAAACCCCTGAGGGGTTTATCATTCGTTTAACAGGTCCGTCTGGCGTAGAACAGGGTAATTTATATTGACGGAAGCGCGCGCAAGTTGGTCAGATAGGAGGCGCCACAATCCCGTTGCCGATACAGGGCGAGGTAGGGGCTAGGACGGTTCTTTCTCAAACGCTTTCTCTTTCAAGCTGGTAAGGAATAAACCTGTTGGGTGGACGGTGGTTTCAATGGTTCAATACTAGAGTCAAGCCGTCGCTTTCTTCTCATGCGCTGTTTCTGTCTAGTGCCTTCAAATTGCGCACCATGGTTTTGTTTCAGCAATCCGAAGCCTCTACTAACCGCGGGAGCTTCCAATCGTGTTGAATCTGAAACGTCAACGGCCGAAACGATGTATACGTGCACTTGAAACCGGGTTAGGTTGACCTTGAAAACGGCCGCCCCCGGTCCATTGTCACATACACGCCTAGAGAAGTAGAACGCTCCGGTTCGATCGCTGTACACTAGTCGCCTTGGAAGAACGGCGAGCCCGGAAGAACGACAGGGCGGCCGGCCCCAAGCTTTCGCCAGGCAGGCCCCGGTTTGTGCACATGCACTAGTAATTGGACCGAATAGGGGCTAAACCGGGCACGGCCCCGCGCCAGGCGATTCGTGTCCTCAGTGCAATGATGAGCTCTAAAGGATTGAAGTGTTTCAAAGCTGGTTCGATAGGCTCTATCTGGCAGTACGTAATTTCACATACTATACTAACAGCTCGATTGATCATATTCCGATGTGCTCGGCTACCGCAAGGATGCATGAGCTTAATCATGTTCCGAAGTCCTGCATCAGTGATGCGTCGACTCAAGAATGTTAGTCCGTAATTCACGGCCGGGGAATTGAATTGGATGATTACTAAGAATCATCATTATGTTTTGCTTCATGCGTGGCGTAGGTCGTTGGCCATTACTGAGGACTCAGAATCTGCCAAACTGATCATTTGATATCTTCAAACCGCTGGCAGTATAGCATTTTCCCGGTCATGCAAATGATTGACAGCAAAATAGCACCTATCTGTCAGCTGAGATAATCGCCAATAAGTACTTTCTGCAAGTTTGATCATGAGTTGGAGAACGAATCAAAACAAGTAATCAAAGGACAATGAGCCTTGGAGATGATCGAAGTTTCGAACGCCTCAGGCCTGCAGATAGATATGGTGATAGCTAGCAGTACCGTTAACTTCTTGGGCGAGCCACCGAGCTAACCATAACACAACCAGCGCGTTCGACGAAGCTTCTGTCTCGTGGTATTTTGGCCGGGCAGAAATTAAAGAAGATAATTCGAAAACGAGCGTCGGACTGAGGCCGCTACATTGAGGCCTTCAACAGAAACGAGGCTTATTTTTGAATGTGGAGTACATGCATGTAATCTCAGGTTCGCGACTTTCTTTGAAACACATTCGGTACATCACTGATATGTGAAGTCTAATCAAAGAACGGAAGTCATTCGATCTTATGCACTTCTCCTCCTCGCGGCTTGCATGTGGGCATGATCCGTTCGTCTTGTTTCTAGGCGCGTAAAGTCCTGATTTCCAATCGTTTCGACCTTTGACCTTCAAGTTGAAAGAGGTCGGTTGATCACTACGTTGGATCGGTAGCGTTCAATTGAACCAGGGCAGGCCCGCACATGCATTGTTCGCGGCTCCTTTAGTTGAATTGGATATTGAATCCGTTCGATCATATTAATGGATGCATTAAGCATCTGAGCAGCCTGAAAGCAATCAACAGCTATCATCCATTGCCATTTGAGGCAAGTCTGTAGAGTCTGCATCAACCTGGCAGAGATAAGACCAAAGCAATACCTTGCCATGTTACCAACTGTGACGTTACCACTTGGAACAAGACGTCCTCAATGGAAGTCAAGCTTGTTTAAGCCAGAACATTCGAACGGTTCCGCAACGGTTGAATGGTACTGTCACTATTACAATAGTCCTCTTCTAATGCCGTATATCTCCAATTATTGCCTTACCCTAATCAAAGTGAACTCGCTGCAATGGCCGCAGATAGAGTTATCTTCTCTATTCACGATGGCATACCCTAAGTTTGCCAAGTGCGACATAAAGACTGCCAACTCGCTTAGGCTCACCATCCGCCCACTCCACATGAGAGTCTTGGCCGCGGGATCCGGCGTCGTGCCCTCATACATACCGCCGTAGTGCAGCTCAAACGACACCTGTGCGGGCAACGGGTCGCTCTCCTGCCACAGCGACATGACGTCATACTCGAACCCTTCAATGTCCATCTTCAGCAGGCTCACTTCCTCGATCTGATTGTCCTGCACCGCCTGTGCGAGCGTGATGAACGCCGGGTCTTCCGCCGCCTTTTCCGGGCTCCCCAGACACTGCTTGTGGTAGTGGTGACGTGGGCCGCGGCTGGCGCCCGCGTACGTGCAGTCGAAGGTATGCACCTCGCAGGGCGTGCTCGCGAGCATGGAGTCTTCAAAATCGAACTGGCCGTTGCTCCCAAGCGACAGGATCACGCACCCCTCCTTCAGCGCCTCAACGCCGCAGAGCCACTTGCCGCCGTCGCCCTCGAGCCCCCACCGCTTGAGCGGCATTCCGGGGGGGCATCCGACGAAGGGGCGGAACAGGGAGAAACGGTCGTGGCCGGAAGGCTCTGTCGGCGTCCGGGGACACGTCTTTTCGTCGCACTCGGTGGTCGAACGGTACAGTGTTGCCATCCTCGGGAAGAGGCTGCCTTGCCAGCGGGAAAGGCTCTCGGATGCACGCTCCCAGTACGCCTCTTGCGCACACTGAGGCCCGCCTAGACCTCTGCGGCAGTCGAGCCCCGAAACCTGAGGAGAAACGAGGATAGGGTTTCAAGAAGTTGGAGAGGCCGTTTCGTTCTTGCGAAATACAGCTGTCTGGCAACGGCGAAGCTAGCCCAGCGTCCCGCATGGTGTCGTTTGGGATGAGATTGTGGCGCAAGTTCAGCTCCTGATTTTACGTCTGATAGTCGAACGGTGTGGGAAGAAAGCGCTTGGTGATAAAGTTTGGGGCTTGATGAATTGGCTGTGCGATGGCGTTTCCAATGCTTATCAACTCAAAAGTGTTAACACGTCCAGATAACACAGTAGCCGAATAACTTAGCCAAGCTGGTTAGCAGGAGAGCTAGTATGAATTGGTCCACACTGTCTTGCCTTGTCTGTCAGCATCGGTTCTTGATGTCAAAACGTTCAAAGGTAAACTTGCTAATAGTCATTTCGATCCAGTGTGCAAAACTCTTGCATCTTTGTACGGACGGGTTCTGAATCAATCGCTTCCATCTCAGAAACCTGCAACACTTATGGCCATCGAAACCAACGGAATATGCATCTCCTTTGGCTGTCTAAAGCTTACTTAAGAAAGCAGAAAAATGAGAAGGTGAAGATCATATAGCTCGGAAGTTGTGACTTCTGGCACACCTTCTTGATGAAGCAAAGCTGCAGAAACTTACCTGCAGCTTCTCATCCCGGATAGCCACGCCCCGACCGGTGCGGGCAGGAACAAGGAAGACGACAATCAGCACACTGGTCGCGACAGAGAGAAACAGAATGCGGATGTCTTTGCTGATCCAGTCCTTGGCCACCGCCGCGACATCTCTTGGAGACTGTGTGGACTTCATTGTCCCTAGCAGAATCCTGCAGATAATAAGGGCAGTATGAGTATTCTGGATAAACTGTCTGCAGCGGAAGCAGAGAGCTAGGTCACAGAAGGAAGATCAAAAGACATAACCATTTCAAGGATTGCCAAACCCCTTGATAAAGAAAACGCTCAAGGTGTTGGCAGCGTCAGGCTCGTCGCTTTTGTACCATGTTCTGCTCGTCATATGGGAGGATGCGTGCTTGAACATTGAGTGCCACAGTTCTCATTCTTCTACTTCGCTGAATATACCTTTAGAGAGATCACTGATGGAGAAAGTTCATTCAGACTGAACTGAAAGCCCTCTGGGGACAGGCAGAAGCTTAGAAGCATTTGGCATTGCAGTCTATCAACGACATCAAAGGGACTCTTACCTTCTGTCAGGTCTTGCCGAACCAGGCGTTGAAACCAACGTAGGGAGGGCCCCTGATATTGCCGCTGATATCGATGCAGGAAGCTTTCTCGCCGGCGCTCTTTTGTCTACTTTACACCCGACGTGCGCTCGTTGCGACAGGTTAAAAACGTTTCGCTCTGTTCTTTACAGAGTGCTTTTACTGCATAAGTGGCTAGCAGCTGAACGCATGCTCGCAGCCTTCGTGTAAAGAATTATCTTCCTATCATGAAGCATAAATCTAGCTATGTTTTCAATTGCATGATTGCCAGGAGCACGAAGCTGGCAGGGCAGCAGGATTTTTGGCAATCTAGTATTCTGGATTGTGGCTCTTTTTCTTGTCAACCTTCTGAAAGAGACGCAAGCTGCACCGTACTGAGTCTAGCAAGCAAAAGTTTTAGAGTACTTTAATTCGTAACACAGGGGGCGCAAGATGTGGCACTAGTGCGACTGTCAAATTGCAGCTCAGGGAGCCATATTGGTTGCTTCTGAGCTCGAGTCCCCACGAGCTTGCGCTTTGTTGGAGCTGGCCGCGCCAAGCAAGCACCAGCAGCGTCCAACTGCCCGCGCAACGAGGCGATTTAAGTAGAATGTATTTCGTTACGGTTATAACTTTTATGTTGATGTTACAACGGTACTAGGACGTACTTATCAACCTAGCTCGAGTACAATTACCGTCATTTGATCGAGCTTGGGCCTCCTTGACACAGTACGGTAATCTGTCGGGCACGGTCCCCTTGATCGAGTGGAGTGTCAAGTCCACACTTCAGCACTGAGAGGGCGACATTCTCAGGAACAGCTACTGAGCTAGCTCAGCAGACGTTGCCGCCGGACTTCGAGGAAAGAAAATCCAATCTCATCGGACGATGCAAACGTTGAGGCTCGGGGCTGCCCCCGTGCATCGACGGCTGAAAACGTTTCAGGTCTGTGACAGCTCAGGTTTTCTTGGAATAGGTACCGGTAATACGTACACGATTTGCACTCATACCGTAGGCGCGGCCGCTCGAAGTCAGAGCACGAAAGGTACCAAACGTACGCGAAGGCCGGCCGGTGAAAGTGGATGACAGCTACACCGGCCGGCCGGCTGATCACCACATTGTACGGTACCTACATGCATCTGCTTGCACGGTAGCCCGGCCGGGCCCGGGTGTAATGCCTGCCGCGGCAACAGCATCGATCTTTTTCACATGGCCCAAGGTAACGTGGGCCGATCAAAGGATGCTCTATGCTTGGATTGGTTGCATGTTGGCATGTACTCGGGTAGTATTGATCTTGTAATGTGAACCACCATGATACAGGAGGTGACTTCCACTGGTCTTCAATGCAAGAGAGCAGAGAGCCGCACAGAATCAGAGTCTAGTACTTACTCGTGGATCAATCTGCAGGGCGTGACCGCGCAAGGGAGCCTATTAGGATCGGAGAAAACGACTGGCACACTTGACAACCGGTTGCAAGAAGCGAGAACTACATCAAAGGATTAACCCCGTTTCAGGCCTTGAAAAAAGCGGAAAAAGGGGCAGTTACGCCGTTGATGATTCCGACCTACCTGAGTGAAAGCAATGCCTCTATAGTCGGCCCTAGCTCACTAGCTCCCTCAAAGGCACTGGTCAGGAAAGATCCGATTTCGGCTGGCACCCGGCCGGCAGTGGTGCCAGCGGGAGCCGCGTGATAAACAATTCACTGTCTCAGCAGGCGCTTTAGACATGCAGAAGATTGGGAAGACAGGCCGGCAGACAGGCTAGACAGGCTACACCAGTCGGAGAAAAGCGCTGGTACCCTGCACTCTCTAGCTAGCTTGGCGCAGTATACGTCATACTGTCAGCTCAATCGACTTCGTGAGGGTAAAGAACTTTCAGGCTTGATGCTTCAGTGGATGAGTGAGCGGGTAATGCGCTCAGTGGCAAGGCGCACCGGATTTGGCCAGTGCACCTCTTACTCACATTCCTGGACGGCTCCGACGTCTGCAAAGTGGTGTGATTACTAGTACTGTGCTTTCGAAGCCTGGTTGATTGAAACTATTGTCAGCCAAGCTTCGGTTCGGGCTAATTGATCCAGCATTACATCCGACTCACATCCTGCGCAGTCAGCCGGGTCCGCACGCGGTCTCTTTTACACGGGCTACCGCTAGTGCTGATTCGTTCGGACGCTCAAGGAAATGCGCAACTCCACAGAGAACAGAGTATCATGGCAGCCGGCACGCCACTCTTGTTCGACGGAAGGGGCAAAGGAATCGCCACCAGGGCGGCTTGGCTGTTGTTGATGCTGTTATTTTTCTTCACAGCATTACTCGCGGGGCACCTCTGGTGGGAACAAGACGGCTCCTTTGAATCGGTCATTAGCAGAATGGTACCCTGGCAGTCTAGTTTTTCCACCCTTGCGTCGAGCTTGCGCAGCAATCCTGGCGGCCAGCAAAACTCGTTTCCGGCATTGCAAGCTGAATTGGGTAAAGGTAATGACACGTCCAGTGAAAGTGAGCGTGTGAACGCATCAATTTCCAACCAGGACCTGATATTTGAGCCGGCTGGTAGCTGGGTAAAAAATACGAGCGCGACTGGTGAAGTAAAGTTTGCTTACTACAGCAGCCCAGGATCCAATTCCTTGGCTGGTGGCCCGAAAGAATTCTCCAGGGAAGCAGCGCACAAGCTTCTTGGTGGCAAATGGGTGTACTTTTGGGGAGACTCTACAATGAGGCAGGTTTTCACCGCGTTTCAGAACGGCATCCAGGGCTCTGAGCTCTCCTTTGAGGTGAGCACATCCTCATGGTAATGTGCTTGCAAGTTCCGTTCCTGAAAGGGGCCACATGCAGGTTTTCAGGGAACTACAGCTTTTGAAACTTTTGGCTTGGTTTCTGGGATTTTGCAGAAGTGGTCGCTAGTACAGGAAAGCTATTAGGACCTCGCACAGTGTGCTTCTGAATCCGTCAAAACTGGGGACACTCTTACGTGAGCACTCGATCAGTGGGGGCAAACCATGCCTGTGAGACTAAAGCACTAGTAGACGGCCTTCACAGACCCACTGATTGAAAGCAGGCTGAAACTTCAATACGAACGAGAAGGGATAGACTCATGAGCTAAACTGGGACACTTACATAAATGGGTGCCTGATCCTAAGTAAAGAGCGTTCTGTCACTCTGATCAAGCTCTTCACGATTCTTTCAGCAAGCTCACAGCAACGCAGCGCAAGCTTTCCCTACGCTTTTTTTCAGCTCTTCCGAGCTTCATGAAGTCAACGGGGTCGGTTCTGCGCGCAGGCCTCCTGATCTACAAAAGCCTGAGGTGCTCAGAACCTTGCTCCGGCAGCCACACTCCGCGCAGTTTTTAAGCTGCGTCCAAGTTCTGACGGTTCGCTTGTTGGACGCTTTTTTCAGGAGTCCAAGTCCAAGTTCCGGTCGTCGAGTCCCCAGGAGGGCCGCAAACCGTACACGCCGCTGCCCCATGACGACACCCCCTGTTGGATCAACGAACACGTGGAGCACGAGGATTTGCTGCTGCCCCACTCCGGGCAGGCTGTCAACCTGACATACGGCTGGAAGCACTTTCTCTTCGAGGAATACGACGTCACCTTTCTGCAAACCCAACTTCCGAACCTGCGCGCTGGCAGGCTCCCTGACGTCATCGTCATCTCATCGGGGCTTCACAACTGTTACCACTTCAAAGACGCCCGGGCGTGGGAGGATCAGCGCGATCTGGACGCGTTTCTCACTGAGCTAGACCGCGTCCCGTACGCTTTGCCGCCCATAGTCTGGCTTGACAACGTCATCTTTGACAAGCCGGCTCCGGAAACCGGCTACCCGGAAGCATGCCGGCGCTTCAACGAGTATTACCGGGCGCGGATCCGAGCTCGAGTGCTGAGCGGGGACCGCCGGGACTCTCTTGTCAGTCGAGAGCAGATCACGTGGACAGCGCCGTCAGAGCTGTGGGGAGACCAGTTGAGGCTCCACCTGGCAGCTGACGTGTACACCGTTGTTGCTGGGTTTGTGCTACAAGCTATGGAAGCTTTGCGGATATAGAGACGCAATCAGGTGGGCGATTTTATTCTTCAGTTTTGGTCAGCAGTCTCCGCTTGGTCAGAGTTCTAAACACGACAACTCATATCCGCTCTTTGTGATGTCCCTCTCTACTCAGAATCGGAAGTGGAGAAGCTGATGGCCACACCGTAAACCGGTCTGAGCACGTCACCGACTGAACATCAGCTATAGAACATGTTTTGCGAACCGGCCTTCTAAGTTCGTTGTCAGCCAACCTTAGCCTCTATCATCTGCGACTTTGCCGCGCTTGTGGGCTCGTTCCAAGCATCAAAGTGACCCGTGCAGAACGGCGCCGGCTGTCCCGGCCCTTAAAAAGTTTCTAGTTTTAGGGCCAGCTTTACAGGAAAGAATGGGGAGAGGGGAATTTTCGGGGACACCCTGACGTGGCATGTGTTCGGAATAAAGTTGTTTCTCGTGAAGTTCAAATGCCGTTAACCGTGACGTTTCCCCAGAAACCTTGTTCGAGACTTGATGCGAATGCGCTGATTTAACTGCGAATCATCTTTTGAGTTTCTCAGCCCTGAGGGATCAACGTTGTAGGACCGCTTTCGTACTTCGATTTGTTTGGCCGTTCGAAAATTTGTACGTTTACACGGATGTCGGCATCAAGCTTCTCGCCTGCAGGCAGCGATGAGCCGCATCGGAGTCCGTCGTTAAAGGTACTGCAGAAAGCGCCTCAGTATGCTCATAAATGGTTGAGGCACTTCATCAGAACTAACGTTGAGCCTCCATGTTTTCTCGCTGCTCGTAGGAATCCGGCGCTTCCTGCGACACCGTCTTCCTCGTTGCGAGTCATTATCGCTTGTACAAGGCAATCGTTTGACCGCCTGCAAAAGTGCTGGAGATTAGTCCTTGATTGCTTATCGGAAGAGCGGAATCTGTAAGTTCATCAGGAGCCCCGGGTCAATTAAGTTCTCTGCCCAACGCTTTTGGGCGCCGGGGCTTATAGCACACGTCAGCATGAGGACCTTGTCAATTACCCTCCTGTGCTTTAACAGATGGAGCCTGAGTCAACTATAGCCCCCTTTATTTGACTCGAAGATTTAACATGATAGCAATCTGGCAATATATCGCATCGTACTGGTCTGCACTCACGAGATTATTGCATTCCTTTCCACGTTCTCTACGCCGCCTTAGAATGGCCAGGCTGGCTACGGAAGAATTGTCTCACTGTATTATGCCGGATCATTGGCGAAGCTTACGTATGATGTCAATCCGAGTTGTTCTCGAGGCAACTCACGCTTGGGGAATCCCCGATCGAAATTGAAGATGGTGGCAACTTATGTCTGGCACTTCTCGGATGCCAATCCTTGTTTTTCATAAAGTTCCAGATGCATGACAGCTAGTTTAAGCTTGTATAAACGGACAGCCAGGCGTACTAGATATATCATGGATGGACCTCAAAGCGCAACAGTGATGTGCCTCGGCATCTCGGGGCCGGACTGGCCGTGAGGGGTCGCGTAGTTACGCATGCACTATGCCGCAAGCAGATTGGCTACGTTTTCTTTCGACCATATATCATTCGGTTCGTACATTGCTATGTTCAGCCCCAGGGCTTTGCACTGCCAGCAGATACTTCGCTGTTTACACACTTCGAGTGCACGCAATGGTAGGAAAGATAGAGCTATCCTCCGGGCCGGTCGGCCCGGCCAGGCTCATAAGCAAGCCTTAGGTAGGCACCGTTCAGTCTGAGTGAGCAAAGACGCCTGATGCTGAGACAGTAGCATAGTCAGATTAGCCGACGTGATCGGCTTGGTGCTTTTGCGCGCTGCAAGTCACATCCCACGATCATATGCAGAAGCATCCGACGCAGTGACTGACATACGTATGTACAGGCCTTCCCATGGGAGCTTTTCTAACCCGATACAAGACTTAGAAGCAGATGACTAATGAGGAGAGAAAGATTTGGTAGTCATCTGTGCATGAGCGATATGATCAACACGTTTTTCCTGAACGAAGCTCAGTCGCAGCATGCTGATTACGTGGTCCAGCGACGAGCTCGTCAAAATGACGATCTAATTGGCCATTGTCCGTTGACGGAAAGGAATTCTGAGTTCTAGACCGGTCTGAATAATCGCAAACGTTTTCAAACAGTGCAATCAAAACCTTCCCCGATATGTTCGACGCCTAGTTCCGAGATACCTCAATCTAGACAAGAGTGACTCCTCTTTCAGAATCTTGGCAACTCCTGACAGCTCTCGTCACATTACTCCCGCGAGCAAAGTTGAAGTCTTCAACGGAAAGCCTGAGAGGGCCACACGCGACTGCTTGCGGCGGAAAATGGTAACACGGCTCAGCAGTCGCGCTCTCTACACAGCCCATCTCGGAAGTTGCAGAGTCGTGGTCGATTAGCCACGCGCGCGAGTCCCCAATGGCGCGCGCTATGTACCCGAACGTCGAACCCCGGGTAATCATGAGCGTATCAGCATATCCCAACAACCATACGTCGGCGAGAGCTTTTTGGTCGTGGCTACGCGTGTTCGTCTGCTGCGACCCCTCGTGCGACACCGTATATATGTCCACGTGTCGAGTTTCTAGGCTAGCATTATAGGCTTCTTGCAAATCTTTGACAATCGTTTCGGAGAGCAGTGAAGCGACCATCACCCTCCCGTAATCCGGGCGTTCGTTCGCGTCTTTGGTCGAGTTGGTTGCGCGGTCTTCTAGAGACACCCTGCGAAGTGAGAACGAAGTTGTCGGGTCAGTATTGTCAATGGGGTTCTCGATTTGCTTTCAGAGATTTGCAGATTTGGAAGCCAGAACCCTGTCTCTCACAGAGGCCACGTTGGAGTCCCAACAGAGGCCACGTGGAGTCCAAATGCTGGAATAAAGCCGACATGCATGCTGATAAACTTCTGCATCAATACAACGTTTGTTTCTTCTGGATACATGACATTCGAAGGCACTATAAAGGCACTGCCTGTCACCCAACCTTGAAACCCACAGATCTCGAAGCCTCTACAAGTATCATTAGAGAGTACTGCAAAACTTTGCTGGCAATCTTACGTGGGTGTACCCACCTTACGTGTACATACAGACTCAACGAACACAGCTACAAAAAAATCCATGACAATCATTTGATCACTAACCAGATTTCTACTCTTCCAGATAGTCCCGTTCAGCAATCAAGAAAAACTCCGCCGATCCTTCTGGTGCATTAGACAGTGGAGGGCCCTTTCGAAGAAAGGAGGCACTTATCGTCACAATTGGGGACGTTTGGCAACAACTTTGCCGGAGAACAATTCGTCCGTTTACCTGGGAAGCATGCCTGTTGTGTAGCCACAGCTGAGGAGGCTCTGCAGATGGACCGGTCCATACGCTCCCGATCCAAAAATGTTTCCAAATCGACTCTGGATTGCTGCAAAAGAAAACCATTCGCCAGAATGAACGGTCCGCGCGCAATATGTAAGTACTCCCCAGGTTTTGGTTTACGACTCGGCTACTCAACAAAAATGCTAACATTCACGAACGAGGGGCGGTGCCTTGCTAGCTGGATTTGGCAGCAAGAAGTCGTGAGCGTAGTGGACATTATCTATCCCTCTCGTCGTCCTGAGATGGTCGTCATTCGTCCAGTTCCCAGTCAATTTCGGCCCAAATTTTCTTTGCTAGCTAGCGATGCCCACATTCTTGGCTAACTTTGGCAGCGACTTACACTCCACTCCAAAGCAATGCATAGCAAGAAAGAGCATACCCATATCTCGGCCTTACTTACCTGTCCGAGCACCGGGCTTGGACATCTTCTCCGCATGCGCCGTTTTGACGAGCTCCCAAACGCTGTCGGCTGGATTTACAAATCGCCGCAGAAGCACCCGTGCTGGCCGATTATCCGGAAACAGTGTCTGCAGAAGTGGCTGGAACCGCCGCTGGGAATACAGTGAGGGAAGCCAGTACTGGTTGCCGCTCACCGCAACAAATTCCGACTCTTCTAGTTCCCAGGTCGCCTCCTCACAGAAGGTCAGAGACGGGTTCTTCCAAAAATCAAGGATGGCCACGCTTGCATTGCCAAGAGTGGCGCGGCCGATGCCGTTTGGCCCGTCTGCAAAGTTCTTCAATACCAGGTTGGGGTCAAGCCGCCACTCCGAGCCGGGAAAGGGCTGACAAAGGAGCTCGTATGACAAGGCCCCCGGCGCCTGAACAACCAGCACTCTTGCCGTCAGCATAGCGTACAGAAGCGCGCTCGTCAGTGCGAGGAGCTGGTTGCCTAGCCCAGAACAGTTGCACAGCTCGGCAACGATCAGAAACTTGCACGGCGCCGCCCGTCCACCGGCAGCCGTGAGCTCGCTAAGATTCCCTGCTGCTTGGGTGCATCTCGTATGGAATCCCTCATATGCTTCCGCCAGCCTCTTGAAGGCAGGCGATCCGCTCCCAAGCGGGGACCATGGCTGGTAAGCTGAGTGCTCCACTCTGTATGAGCATTTAGGATCCTCTAGTCCGCCAGACGCGCTTTTCACAGGTGTTCCCAGACCGACGTCCAGCCGCGCTAGAAGCTCAAGTAAGGCTGGCTCGTCCGTTTCTAGTTGCTGTGGGAGATCCTCGCGCTCAGTCCCGTGGGTTGGAAAATGGCAGGCAGGCAGGGGGGATCCCGTTGCATTCTCGCCGAAGGCGCCACAGTGTGCAGGGCACGCAGTGCGCTGCTGGTTTGCACCTGACAGTAGAAAGGTGAACGCTAGAAAGACGATGACAAGGACGGGTACCATCAAGATCATGTGCTGCGACTGTCGTTTTGACCAGGACGGCAGGTGCTTCAGACTTGCAGCCCGCAACTCGCCCGACCGTGTGGGGCTGAGGAGCTGTGAGGGGTCCATTGTGAAGCGGGCCTGAGCTACTAGCGACCCGTCGTGGCTCTTTCAGTGGAAAGAACTTTCATAGAGCAGAAGAAGCTTTGGATCTACCAGGTTTTAAGTATGCACCCGGACTTTTGTAGAAGCGAGCTTCGCTTCTGAACTTGAGCTGGGGTCAGCCCAGTTTGCGACTTCCACGATTTGAGCGGGTCAGGCATGTTTGGTTGGAACTCTGAGGAGGCAAAAAGTCCAATGGAAATTGCTCTGTCTTGATATCGAGCTTGATTGTGCTAGCTGCGAATCATGGACACAGAGCCGGCCTGATGTCATAGCCGGCAGCTTGCTTCAACCCAACCGCTGGATTGTCTGCAGAAAGCCAGCTGAAAGAAAATGAGCGAATCATCGCCGCTGCTGATGTCAGTGATGGGGACAAGTTAGGACGGTCGGATGATTTTTGATCGCACGTATACCGGCGTAGTATTGTACGATGCGCCAACGTTCGTGCACACTGCTCATCCGGTACCGTCATAAGTGCCAGGGAGCCACAGTGATCTAGCTAGGTATTGCCCCCATACTTCAGTGTGAGGGGGCCCAACATTACAAGTTATTTTCAGCTTATATCTGAATTTCGGTGAATATTGCGTCTAGAAATGTTATCAAATATCATCAATTTGTCTTCTAGGGGGGTTCTGTTGGATGACTGACCCTGAGTACCCCTGTTTATAGAATTAAGCGTCAATTTCGACTCAATCGACCTAGCAGGGGGCAATTTCGCGCAGAATCTGGGCCCCCAATCAGTGACTGAGGGGGCCCACCGGGCCCCCGAAGAACGGGTCCAGGGGGCTCGGGGCCCACCAATTGAAAAAGTTAGCGGAAACACTGTATTTAACCCCTTGCTTAGTAAAGTTACTGGTATGCGTACCCTTGTTAGCGGTCGATCCAGGCTCTATAGCTACAGCCTACCAGTAGGTAGTGTGGTACAGATTTTAGAACTGGACCACTGGACGGTACGTATTGGTGGAGAATCTGAAGGCTGAAGGGTAACGGTGCCGTACTTACGTACACTGTAGAGTACTCTTTGTACGTACCTTTTTATTTCCTAGAGAAGACTCGAGAGTCGAACGTACACCGTCCCCTACGCTTGGCTGAGCTCACTGGCAGCAAATGCGAAAAAGCACACGTCAACACGTGTCCCATACCACTTGTACACTTGCTCTTCATCGGCCCGGTGGAACCAGAAAATGGGCATGTGATTGGCATCGGCATCCTCGATATGTTGGGGCCAGGAATCTAGCATTTGGCTAAGATTGTTTGAAGATCGAACAGGAAGGAATACGGCATATTGCAATTTACTGTACAAAATAAAGTCCCCTACAAGGGGCCCTCAACGGCTGTACGGTGCCAGGACCACTGAATGCGGGCCCCAAATGCGGTCCCTTGGGTGGAACACCCAAATTGACTAGTGGTCAAAGCCGACCCATTCCATCGGTCTAAACCGGGAAAACCCAAATTCTTTAAATGTTAAGGACGATCAGCAGACACAATTAACGCGCGGACCTTCAGCGTGCGCCAAATTGACCACAATCTAGAAAAAGTCGTGTAGCAGAACCATTTTCCTCCCGGCCTTGAGTGACGCTACATTCGACCCTACTCATTCAGTTGCGGTATTGGTCCGCAATGATGGCGCTCCATAATGATGTAATACTCACAGATAGAGCATCCTATAAAGGACCTCGTCCGCCGCTCAGACCTATCGGATACGGGCAAGCACGATCTCCGTTATGGATTTTCCGTGTGAGGGATAAAGAGCAGTACATGACAAGCTGCATGGTGAAAGCTCCGCGGGGCGGCTACTCATCGAAGCTCAGACTTGCAGCAATTGACTGTACGTTGTTTCATAGCATAGGCACATGAAATCAAACAGCTAGGGGGCAGGCTCCAAACTGCAGTACGCTTCTCCACCTTGAATTCAGGCTGCTTTTCTGAGACATCTAGAAATTGTCTTGATAAACTGAGGGCATCGACCCTTCGCTTACAACCACCAAAGGAGTGATCCTCGATGTGTCATCGCTCATGCAGTCGATGGGTGCCACATGTCCAATCTTTCCAACCCCTTCCTCTTCTCTTCGGAGCCAGCCAGGTAATTAGCGTGGACCCAAAACATTTTGCCTTTATTCTTACTGAACCACTCCTCCTTCATTCCGTACGCCCCACTGGGGAACCGAACCCTCGGCAGAAGCTGCACCGCAACCCCCCTGCCCGCCAAGATCTCCGGCGAGTTCGTCACTTTGTTAAGGCTGACTTGGTCGTTCCCGTGGACCCTGCCGTTCTCCGTCTGGTTGTGTATCGCTTCTATCCACGTGTCGACGAATGTAATCCCGACCTGCGTAGGTTTCACGTGCATGAAACACGTGCACACATTCAGGCCCACAGTGTCCTTCCCGAGCTGCCGGGAGCCCTCCATGTCGCCCTCGGTGCTCGAGCCGTCGTCCGTCACGCTGACGTCATATGCTGAGGTCAGGATCTGGTGCGGGTCGCGCAGCCAGACGGTGTCGATGTCGCTGTAAATGACACTGAAGCCCATTCCGAGCAGGTCGCGCATGTGGTACGCGCGCAGCACCGTGAGGTCGTTGAAGGACTGCGAGCCAAAGGCGGCGAAGTCGTCGGAGAATTTGTCGGACTGCGCCTCGGATTGGAGGAGAATCGCATGGCCTGGCCAGTGCGCTTCCACGAAGTCGAACGTGGGCTGATCGATAGTGAATGCGATGACGCGGCTCGCCAAACCCAGGCGTTCCAGGCTCCCGACCCAGTTGCTGCACGAAAGAAAAGCGGGGGTTCTGTTGCAGCCGCGTAGGCATCCAGCTTAGGATTGTCTGCATAACACCACTGTTGTGAAGAGGTTGATACTCCTTGCAGTTTCCTGTTTTGGTCCTCCAGAATTCTGTACAGTTTCTCAAAGTTTCTTGTAGTGACAGCTCAAGGCAGGTGAATGAGGCAGCGTTCTGTTCTTCCCAAGCGTTTGTGGCCCTTTTTGATATGAATCAAAGCGTGTTTCCGTGTCGTAGATCGTCATCGCTTTCGAGATTCTTTTGTGGCTGCATGAAACTTCAGCATCTTTGACGGCGTCAGTCTCCTCTTCATTGTCACTTTCCTCCGTCCACAAACCCAATTCGAAGTTTTCGGTTTTGTTCGCAACCTTCCTAACAGCATGAATTGAAAGCGCGAACCTTCCTAACAGCATGAATTGAAAGCTGAGCCCGGATGACTGAGATTTGAAGAAGTCTTTTCAGGTCACAGTCGCTGCATTTTCAAGGCAGCCTTTCGAAAAAAGAAGCAAACGTCAACAGATTGAAGGCAGCCTTTCGTAAAAAGAAGCAAACGTCGACAGATACCCCGTCGCCTTTGGCAGCCCCTTCGCAGAGCGGTCGACTTGAAGAATGGAATACCCGGGCGTGGCAAAAGGCCCGCTGCAGTCCGCTGCGGTAGGAACCTGGCAGCTAATCTCCGCACTACCTTGCATACAAAATGCATAGACGGTGCAACGGTGTTTGGATCTTTGGTCAAGGCTCAAGAAGCTTTTAAACTAGAGGCGATCAGTCCCACCTGTAAAAGTCATAGTATCCTTTGTTGACAGTGCATATGATGACGGTAGAGTTGACGGCAACGGACGTGGCGAGTTCCCGCAGCTTTTTCCTCTCCCGCTCTGCGTGGTCCGTGTCCGCTCCCGGGGCCTCTTTGGAGGGTTCAGAAGCGCTCGGTTCCGGAGCCTCTGTCAGGAAGTGCGACTCCGTGACCGAGTCGTCTTGCAAGACGTGCTCCACGTCGTTCCACCTCCGCTGCGGTTCCGCCAGTCCGTTGCAGAATTCCTCGACGGCAGCTCGGGGCAGGTCGCCGGCGGGCGTGAGGGGGATCCCCTTCTCCAGGAAGCTGTTCCGCCGGTGCTGCGCGTGCGGCGACGCCCACTCGTGCTCGAAGAAGTTGTACGGCAGCAGTGACGTCAGCGCGCACTGGCCCGGCTGGTCCTTGCACGAGAGGGGCCCCGTGAAGGAGCTCCAGGACCCGGCACTGTCGAGGTACGGGACCCCGTTCTTGAGATGCTTCGCGGAGAAGCTGCAGTAGAATTTGAACGCCCCGGCCGGCGAGGCACCCCGACCGGCGGTGGTGCCCACGTGGCCCAGCAAGCCGCCGCGCTCGTCGTGCCCGGTTGTGACGAAAGTTGCGTTGACCGGCGTCGGTTCTCCGAGCCCTGCCCGAAAGCAAATCCAATTGCAGTCAAAACGGGTTTGACAATTAATTGATGGCCCAAACACCGTCGCCCACGTACGCTGGTAAAATCGGATGCGCACTCAGATGTTGTCAGGATGCTCTTATGTTCTCCTGCAACCTTTTTTTCAAACGTCGTCAGCCACGCAAAGCATTCTTTGTCCAACAACAAGCTTGGTGCTTCTCCTCGCCAAGCACTTCCTCTGTCGAGGTTGTTTGTGCATCAAAGCCGACTTGCCCAAATTGCGGTCTTTGGAAGGAGAGCTTTGCCTGGAGAATCCAACAAAACATGTTGGCAGAAAAGTGGGCGCACACAAATTGAGCCAACTCGATCCACGAACTTCAGTCTAGTGTTAAGAAATACTAGGTTCCTGTTTTCATGATACTTCAAGGCCCTACCGGGAGTCCAACAAACGGAGCGGTCGTGTAAGGACTTCCAGGGCTGACTATGAAAGGATTTCTCTCCAGGACATGAGCGAAGGCAGCTCAGCAGTCGGACACGTGTGGCTGGAGGGTACGATTCATGGATGCATACTCTTCGGCCCAACAAATATACAGTTGAACAGGGAACCTGACAACTCCGCCCTTTACCAACGCCCGCCAAACACATGGTCTCTGAAAAGCACATTGGTGGCACTAACCATAAGATTTCGATGCAGCAAAAGCTGCTGCCAGGTGGCCGAACGTCGTGGCGACACGTGTTGGCGACACAGAGATGAATGCGTGAGAGGTTTCCGCGGCAAGGAAGAAGTCTACCACGGCCGCCCATCGAGGGTCTTTGCCCCAGTCGGAGGCCAAGTGATCTTCCTGAATCGGAAGTCGTTCCTCTTCGGGGTGGTGGATCTTGTAGAGTGTCGCATTGAAACGGATCACCTGACAATTGGAACACCTGGGTTTGTAAAATCATGCGTGTCTGTTAAGGCGTCTCAAAGTCCGCGTTGAGATCATAACGTTTGATTCGAAGGTCCTGTAACACAGAACGTATCTTTCAAGGATCCAAGACCGATCTCAGTTGAGAATGCGTGGACACACAAATCTTCTCGTTAGGTTCCTGAGTTCACGCCTGTAAGAAGCAAAGCGCAATGCTTTCTGTATTCTTCGCTTCTTCAAAAGGCTGGGCGACTCCTTTGCGTACACATCACTGAACGGAGAGAATGATCATTGACACTCGGAACAAAATAACCCTTGCCGCATTCACTCCCTAGAGCCCTACCTTTGCAATTCCTTGAAGCGATCGAGCGAACTTCAATCCGGCTGATGGCGTGTCGGTGACGAGCAGAACGGTTGGCAAAGTGGTGGTTCCATCTGTGAGCGGAGCAAATATAGTGCTGAAAATGGTCGAGACTCGGAGGCCAAGAACTCAATCAATACAAGCAGAGGCCTGTATGCATGTTCCCGATCTCTTGGATGTGCAACTACGACTCTGATGCTCTTCAAACAAGGAGGGCCGTCGGAAATGATGACGACGAGAAATCTTTGCCAGCATTCTGAGCCAGGTACGGTGTGTCTCACTCCGGACTAAGTTTGTAACCAGTCTCTCACCAGTTTGACCCGCTTGCTGTAGTGCGTTCCGCGTGCAAACCGTCGCTTGCGCAACGGTGTCGGGGCAATCAAGCTGCATCATCCGCATGTGTACGGACACGACAGGAGCGCCGTCCTTCAGAACCCTCGAGACGGCACGAGCTATAACCGGACGGGGGCTTATGAGCGCCCGCAGCGCTTCGCCTAGCAGGTTCGGCCGTGTATGGGGTAGCATGGGTTCTCCAAATAGTTCCGCTGCTTTCCTTCGAATATGCGGGTGCCTGCAAAATTAGCGCAGTTAGTCTCAAGGTCCACGTGTCTTCCTCTCCATGGTCGCTCCTAATGGAAGCCAGCTCGGCCGGAAAGTGGAATTGATAAAGAAAGGAGTCCCGCTGAAAGCAGACCTGCGCGTCGACGCGAATCCAACGGTTTTTGTCAGACGCCTTTCGGCTAGGTAAGCAAAGGGATCGTGTCCCACAGGAGCATCCGCCATCAGGCATTTCGGGTGCCTTGTAAACCTAAGGGCTTCTTTTTGGTGCACCAGTCATGAATTCCAAAGTGCGTCGTGAGTTTTGTTGCTTACGTTTTAGCACTTCAGATTTGGCTCCAGTATCAAGCTTGTCTAGCTGCCCAGTCTTCAACCAGCTCAGCTGTGAGAGGTCTGAGAAGAACAAATTTGGCATGCGAGACGTTTTGGTTGGGGCAGAATAAACCAACACATGCAGTCATTCGGAAGTGCACTAAAAGCTTGTTTTCGTGCCGTGCTAATTTGGTAAAAAGCAACAACAATCTCATTCAAGGTCTCTACAGCTCTCAGTTGATTGGGACTTCGCAATTCTCAGGTTGGCTCTGCAGCCGTTCAGAAATGCTGATTATCATTGAGACGTACGTGTGGGCTCTTCTACCACTTTACTGCTGATAGAACGTGTCCGAGTCGCCACCCAACTGGAGGATCTCGCATACAAGCTGACGGTCCTGCTGCCGTCCAAAGACACCCCCCTGAACCAGTCCTCTTGGAGAAGAAATTCAAACCCGGCCTGTTGGCATCTCCCGCTTTTTCACGAAACGACCCTAGCTGCGTTCACGGACGACTGCTTAACCGTCTCGGTTAAAAAGGAGAAGCTTTTCGGGGAGATATTTCGAAAACCTGCCGCCGGTGCAAGGCTGTAAACGAAACTCACCGACTTCGAGTGATCAGAGCCAGGTTGCCCATGTCACCCAAGTCGGTCACTTGAATCAGCGGCACGTCCCACTTCGTCAGATCGTCGCACATAAAGGAGACCTGCGCAGTGTGTGCGTGCACGTCTCCGGCCATGTTGCGCAGCTGCCGGACAACTAGAGGGCGGCCGAATTTGGAGGCACACCCGTTGGTCGCCCACAGCTGCTTCAGGCGGTCCATGCTGAACAGACGCGCGTTGAACTCGATGAATGCCTCCGCTGAGCGGCCGCCGTACGTGCCGTCTGCCGTTTCGAGCTCACCCTTGTAGTCTGGCTGAGAGGACCTACGTATACGTGAAGAAAAAGGTCATAGTTCAGATTGAGTTGGCGCTTGTGCTCGTTCTGCTTGCGTTGGAAAAAGCATGAGACGACTCCATTGATGGAAGTCACATCTCTAGGGTTGGGTATTCGTGCCTAAAAATCGACGGCTTCTGGTTAAGAACAGGAAGGCACCCCACACTCCATCAGTGGTTTATTTGAGACTGCATCAGGAGAGCAGAAAGAACTGAATCTGCTCTGCCTTTGTTCGCTTCGAGGAGCAAAAGCCCCTGCATAGAGCGAGAGCAACGACTACAAGAGTGCCAGCAGTACGAGAGGTGCAGCAGAGCAGATTCAGGAGACGCTAAATTGTAGTACGACAGCCTCGAGTAGCTGAGTGCCTGTAGACACTAGCGGAGACGAAAGGCTCACAGCAGGAAGAAATTTACTTGCGATCAAAGCTCCCCTGCAACTGCCCAATAAGCATGACAACTTAAGTCTATCTGAATCTCTGCAGGGCACGTTCATCTTACCTCTCTTCACCCCATATGACGGTTCGATTCAAAATCATCCCTAGGATGAGGGGCCCGATTCCACCTTCGTAGAACCCGTTTCCAAGGCCATTCTTTAGGTGGTTGCTATGGCCAAAGACAAACTTGTGCTGGCAGAACTCCCGCGGTTCTAGCTTGGCTATCTTGTCGGCGGCTGCACAGATCGGAAATGGGTATGCTAAAGTTCCCCAGTAGCAGCTTGGATTCGGAGGACAGCTGCGCACGATGGTTTCCGGCTGGAAAGGATCAGAAAGAGTGTTCATGTACATGCGATACTCGAGTTGAAATTGTTTCGCGACTGCTAAGCAGCTAGGTTGACTGGTGCCTTTGTGAACTTTGTACAGAAGGTCAATCGTAGCTCAGTCGTTTTGCAGCATAACAAGCACGCGACGCACTTATGCCTGGCCAGTCCGCGGCTGTGCACAAACCGGGACACATGTGAAGCCATTTCGATGACAATGGATCACTTTGGAGATCTGGGTTACTTTTGGTCTCCTCCTTGGAAAGTCAAGACAGCTGCAGACTCCCAATGGCTTCGTGCTTGCAATAAGCTTCATGGAGAAAGCAGACACCACCGCGACGTCACTCAGAAGTTTGGGAATAACAATGATGAACGTGCTCCAATCTGCTTTGGTGCGGTTGAGTTTGTAGATGCATTGGGCCTGGCTTACCCCAGCTCCTCTGTGCAGGTTTGCAAACGAGCACCTATGAGGATGTATAATGCCGAAGCTTACCATGGAGGTCCAGGAAAGTTTCGATCCGGCTCCGAACGCCGAGGCTTGGGCAACGGACATCAGCTGTCATGCTTGCGCCCATTTCCTCCGCTGTTGCACATGTGTGCAACGTGTTTGGGGCTGAAGAGTTGCCTGCAATAGCTGCCAAGCGCGCCTCCTTGCGGCGCACCATGGCATCATTCAGACTCGCCCACTGATCCTCGGGGAGACCCTTGTTGAACAAGTCTCCCGGGCAACCCTCAAATTCTGCAACCTTCTCCCCTGAGTGAAAAGCCTGGAGACGCCGCCCGTTGAAAGAGGGCTGCTTCACGCTGCCAGGGTCAGCTGTGCACCGCTGACCAGCGGTTGAGACGTGGACCAACCTCCCCGGATGAAGAGCTGGACAGAAAGAAGTGCCAGTTACGAACTTTCTGGGTTCAGTTGACGCAACTGACCATCACCTTCGCCGACACTGGTGTGTGCTTGATGCAGACTTGTCAGATGTGACCGGCAGCAGAATGCGGGAGCGGAGTATTTTCTGCTGTTTTTAAGGAAGGGATTGTCCAACTCACACATTGGGTGTCCTTCTGCAACCTCAGAAAGAACTCAGACAGTATTGAGCAGCTTGTTGACGCTTGCTGATAACGTGACAATCTCGTTTGCAAGGTCTACTGTTCATAGCTGTGAATGTACAATCGCCTTTCAAAACTTTCAGCAGAGTCGTTAACAGTGGCGTCTGTCTACTTGAATCTGACTCCAGCTCTCATGAAGCAGAGATTGGCGTTGCTGCTCGTGTAAGTCGCTCTCGATATCTTATCTGGATGATTCCACCTCCTCTACCATTTGAAACACATTGAGGGATGCGGGATTTGCGCGATTGAGCTGGACTTACCAAGACAAACGCACAGAACCAGAAGAAAGGCAACTCCCATCGGGAAGTGGTGGCGGGGGCTGCAAACCCATCCTGTGGCCCAGGCCCCAGCCTTACCAAGGTTGCGAGGGAACGCCCTCTTAGGACCGCCCTTACAACTGGCAGACCTGCCGCCAGCAGAGACTACCGCTTCCAATAGGCGCGTATCATCGACATCCATCATCGCTGCTCACAGCTTCTACGAAGCTCAGATCCCGTGGCCAATCCTCAGAGCGGGCTCACCAACTATTGGGGGTCAGCTCCAGCTCTCTCATTTGCGCTCACATCTCCCGCTCTGAAAGCTCAAATCACGCAAGGATGAAGATTCAATCACCCTGTAAGGTCAGCTGAAGGCGTAAGCGTGGATTGGTTTGCAGCCCACTAGACATTTAGCAAAGCCTGCAATCTTTTAGGCAGAGTGTCATGGCTGCGTAACGTGATCAGTCTCAGTGCGGCAGCAGGAGCTAGTCTGTGCAGGATGTCCTGGTTCGGTGTCGCGTCGGGCTCCCCGGCGCTCATTTGACAAAAGCCGATTCAGGACTGAGCACTTCAAATTGGGTAGGTGATACATATCAAGCGTCTTGACTCTTGACAAGTCCTCTAGACCGCTCATGATAAGGTGTGCCGGTACACTCCATTTTTCAGGACAATTTCAGGTGATTTCACCGCATGATATGCCCGATGCTGTGCACGTGACGTTGCTGTGATGGCTGTACGAGCTCGATTGGGCCAGATGGGCTGGCACCTATTAACTCAAAACATTCGGGTGTCTGTGTAACACTACCGTACCGAACCTGAGCAAGACCTTAGCAAAGCTGACACCGACAGTGACCGGACCTGCGTCGTTCTCCAACCTGCTCGAGCATGAT